ATAAAAAGAAAAGACTTATTTAACTCACAGTTTGGGAGATTCAAGTCCAAGTTTGGTTAGCCCTATCAGTTTGGTTCCTTATGATGGTGGAAATCATGGCAAGAACATGTGTGGAAGAAAATACATGGGAGCAGACATAGAAAGAAGATAGATGGGATTTGACAATCCCTTTTGAAGGAATAACCCAGTGACCTAAGGATCTCCCCAAAAGATTCTACCATCCCCTCATAGACCAGTCTGCAGATCAAGGCTTTGATCATTGGACTTCCAACCAATATTTAAGCCATAGTATTTCTGTTTTCAACTACAGTATTAACTAGCTAAAACATAAAATATCCTTCGTGACAAAAGATTTGCATGTATATTTGCTTGTACTTTTATACCTTATACACTTGATCTTAGCCAAAAGGCCGAGAAGCAATTACTTTTATACCTTATATACAGCACTTAGAAAGAGTCCTTTTTGTGGTAAATAGGATAGTAATGTCTTCCTATAAAGGCCGGTAAAATTAATTCTATTAATTTAACACTTACCCCAAGAAAAGACAACTACAAAGGTGCTTATAGAGAATTTAATCAGCAAGTTGAAAACTCAGATCTTCCAGGATGTTTTATGCTGAAATGTTCAATATTCTCAAGACTTTTATAAATGTGGGTACAAAACTTAAATCTAAAAGAGTACAAGAATTAAATGACCATTACTCGTTAGACTTTTTTTTTTTTTTGACAGAGTCCAGGGCCTCACTCATTCTAGGCAAGTATTCTACCACTGAGCTACATTTCTTTCCCCTCAGTTGATCATCAGTAATCTTTATGGGAAAACCCAGAAATTCCTATAACAATCAGTTCAAAGGATTACTTGCCCCATCTCAACCTCAACCCCATCCCATGTAGCTATATCATGGACACTCCATTTTTTAAAAATTTTACTTTTGGTAGGGTTCATAAATAAAATGAAATTATGAACTATTGACACTCATATATTTAATACTTCCTTCATCCTAATGTGTCAATATTAGAAACCATGAAGAGACGCCAAACTGCTCAAAGACCAGTTATTCACAATTCTATGCTCCTCACTATTTTCAGAATTCTATGAAAATATGTGGTCATTACTCTGCATCATATGCTAGTGGTATTTTCATCTTTGCCTGTAGATGAGAAAACTCAGTTAAAAACGTCAGGGTATTTTCCTGAAGAAACACAAGAAGGCTCTATGACTTCAGGAAAAAAATTGCAGCCTTCAGGGTTCTCAAGCTACACACTGTTGATGTGTTGGCCTGACAATTGTTTTGTTATGGGGGAGGGAGGCTGCCCCATCCCCTACAATGCTTAGCACCTTCTCTTTATTCTTCTCACTAGGTGCCAGCTGCACCCCTCCCCCCACTATGGCCACCAAAAATATCTCCAGACATTTGCAAATGTCCCCCAAGGAGCAGCATGGCCATCCTGAATCCCACTGGGGAGAAAATGCATAAAGTAAATAAATGAATACAGATTTGTGCTGTTTTACATCTTACGTATGAGTTTTTCATTTCTCCATGGAGTAAATATTACTGATCAATTTCTTTAAAGTTTACCTTCTCTCTTTGTTAGAATAATCACCAATTCCTAACCATATTTTAATATTTCTAAGGCACACATATATTAGAGAAGGCTCTGTCTCTACATCATGATAATGTAAATTATTACTAGCTCTTTTTTTTTTAAAAAAACTGGTAAATTACTTTTGTCTCAAATTTTGATTACCAATCATAATGAAATCCTAAGTAACACTATTTGAGTTAATAAAGCACTATTCTGCCAAAGAGCTCAATCTGATCTTTCATACTCACATTATTTCCTTGAGGTAGGCAGGAGTTTAATGCTATCTACCACTATTAGAGGGGTGAAGGGTTAAGTTCAAGGGTGTAGAACTTATCAGCATCAAACAGACATTGGCAGACAACTTGCATAGCTTTTTCTCCCACTAAGTTTTTCTATCATTCGCATCTTTATTAGCATATAATAGTTGTACAGGGAGCAACTATTATATTACATATTATAAATATGTAAGTACATATTTATATATGTACTTACAACCTACCTTAGATTCACACACATCCCCATCACTCTCCCTAATCCCTCCCTTTCCCCTTAGAACAATTTCAACAGGTTTCATTATTTTATTTTCATGTATGAATACAAAACATATCCACCACATTTGCCTCATTCACCCTTTCCTTATGCCCTCTCCCCTCCCACTGGTACCCAGCCCAGAAAAGACCTGTTTTACCCTCTTGTCCTTCATTTTTTAAAGTGTATGTTGCTAGTCATTGCAGACATATTGTGCCTTAATCAGATTAATCCCATAATTACTTACTCTTTTCTTTATCACCTGCTGCCCTATTATTCAATAGCGTACAGTGTATTATGTATTATATTCATATGTAGATGGAATGCTTCAATATTGTTCACTAAGGTCCTCTTTCCCTCTCCTGCCTGTCCTACCTCTTGTCCTGTTAGACCCACTAATACAATCTTGTTCTCTCTTTCTCATATGTGTGTGTGTGTGTCTAAAAGACCATATATGTACTTATGTGCACATTTCACTTATAGGTCTAACTTTCACATATTAGGGAAAACATATGATCTTTGACCTTTTGAGTCTGGCTTACTTCTCTTAACATGATGCTCCCCAGTTCCATCCATTTACCTGTAAACAACGTAATTTCATTCTCCTTCATGGTTAAGTAATACTCCATGTATATATATATACCATATTTTCCAAATCCATTCATCAGATGTGGGGCATCTGGACAGTTTTCAAAACTTGGTTACTTGTGAATAGTGCTGCAATAAACATGGGTGTGCAAATGACTCTATTGTATCCTGCAGCACAATCCTTCAGGTATGTGCCCAGGAGTGCTCTCCCTGAATCATATGCCCCTCACTAGGTTTTTGTGATTTGAAACAACTAATAGCAAATTATTTACTTACATTACAATATATTAACATTTTACCCTAATTTGGTTTTGCCTAAAAATTTAAAAATTAAAATAAATAATTTTAAATTAATAACATATCACTTACTTTCTTCAAAATTCTATCTGGCACTACACTTGTTTGGTTTTTTTTAAGAGACACCAGAGTGACTATGTGTCTGTAAAAGTAAAATATTGATAGCTCCAAATGCACAAAGATATACTTTATATTAAGGAAAATAGACAAGAATGGGAGTATCATTTCTTATTAAGAATACATGGCATAATCCCTGGGCAGTTAGATAAGAGGAAAAGTCATTTAAATAACCTGATTTTAATTTCCAAAATTGAAGCACTTTACTCACATATGCATTTAGCGTTATTAAAAAAATACAGCTCAAATCACAGTTACATAAACAAGGTATACTTCTACTCATTAAAACTTTGTAGAAAGAGTCACATTAAAAATAAATTTAATGTTTATTTACAAATATAATGATTAAAACTAGCATCTACACACATAAGAAATACATGAATTATAGTTAATTTAAATACTATTTAAATGTCTGCATTAGATAAATGCTTCTTCCTATTTTCAATTATCTTTATTTTTAATGTCAGTTAGCAGGGCATGACTTCCTAAATAAGATAGGTCAGAAAATATGCATAAAATTTCAGAATTATAAATATTGGTATGTTTCTGTGTATTTCTTTTATATTTTTTTAAAATATTGAAAAAATTTAAAACCTTTTAATCAGTATCTAGTATGGATATTATAGAAAATAAATTGTTGATGAAACCCTATCACTAAACTTTTAGCTGTGAACAGAGCAAAACAAACAGCTAAGTAACTTTGTGACTGCTACTTGAAATCTGAAACATTAAAAACTTGTAGTGTTTAATATGGAAGTTAGTTCTTTACATAAATATACAGAATTTCAAGATTTCTGAGTATACCTGCCTTCGATCATTGAATTGACTACATGTTAGCTGGCATTCAAAGTTCAACTTAATGGCATTAACCTGATAATAGTTACTACACTTGACCTTAGGCAAAAGGCTGAAAAGCCATCGATTTCATAGCATTTAGTGTGATCACCTAATTCCATGGAACTTAGTCATTTTTAAAAATAAAATGTTTTGGGGTCACCAAAACCGTAAGTACCTACATCATGTATGCATTAACCAGTACCCAGCTCATAGGAGTTTATAATTTATAGGCTGGGACTCAGTGAACCAGGTGACATGATTCACATTGAGTATCTCAAGGAATACTAAGCCAGGGAAACAGAGGAAAAAAACAACTAGTAAGGAAGTACAGATAAAGTACAAAACAAAACCAAAGGTGGAGGGTCAGAAACTAGGAATGTAAATAAGAACTATAGTCTAAGAAAAGCAATCTAAGCAGCCAAAGGCTGGGAAACTCAGAAAACAAGCCAAAAGGCACCAGAACAGATGCAAGAAGACCTTGACCACTGGCTCCCTGGTCTGTCCCAGACAGGATGCTTCTTGGTTACCAACCTCTGTGAGCCAGACTCAGTCCCAAGGTTACCAGGTGCCCTGAACTGATCCAGTGCAAGAAGCAAAGATCTAGACAACATAGACCTGTCACTTCATTTATTCCTGAGAATAAAGTATGTGGTAGGAAGGAGAAAATCTCTCTGTTATCAATTATGATTCCAAAATGTATATGCTAGCACCAAAGCATGGAAAATATTTTCACTAATGCCCCAATTGAAACTATGCCTTTGATGATTAAGGGTCATGTGAAGGTGTGCGTATTAGCCTTTCAGCATGCACGAAGTCACAACATTCCCGAATGTAACGCCACTAAAAGAGGAGAGAGCAGCATCAATAAGTCAGTAAGTCAGTGTAGAAAGTGAAGAAAGTCAGGACTTTGCTGTAACAAAAATGTATCCTCCAAAACAAAATAGGCAAACAAAACAAAACAAACAAAAACCACATTCTGATCCCATTATCCTAGAAAACACACAAAACCGAGACGTGATTTAAGACCGTCTAGCACTGGAGCTGCTTCACAAGCGAGTCCCATTGTCCTTGCTGCTCTGATCTGTGAAGTTCAATGCAATGTGGCTGAAGGCAGGATTATCAGTCCCACCATCCTCCAGAGGATGAGACTTGTGGCTTAAAACATGATTTTTCTAAAAGAAAAAGTGAATGTGGTGATTAGAAAAAAAATAACTTCATTTATCCAGCTTTCCTTTTTTTAAACTGGCTTTTTAACCTACTCAGGGAAAGATGTTCAACTAATAAAAACCAGCAGAAGACAGGGAGGTGCTGGTTTGGGGAAATTTTTGCAGTACTAGAGTTTGAACTCAGAACCTCATGCTTGCTAGGCAGGCGCTCTAGCACTTGAGCTACTCCTCCAGCCCCTAGCAGAGGATAGATTGATAGAATGGTGTACAACAGACAGGGATCACCATCAGTGAGTGAGATATAAACCTTCCTTGTTTGTTCCTGTTTAGGAGCTGAGGACTGGCTACCATTCTATCTAGGTGATAAAGTCTAGTTTCCTAATTTAAACTAAACAAAAGTCAACTTACTTTCTTGAAAATATCAAAATTGGATAAAAAGTCCTTTTTGGTTAGTAAGAATCTGGGATCTAAATCCTGTTTTCTTCCTCCTGAAAAAAAAAACACATTATTTGCATTGTTAAAAAGATACCTATGACTATACAGTGACCTCCCATCATACAGGCATTTAACTTAAGCACATTCAATGCTATGCACTCATAAAATGAAGAGACTCTTTAAAATGATACAGAAGATTTAGCCACCATTCCCCTTCCCTGAGTCAGTCTCAGATCCTTTAAGCCTCTCATTATGGTAAGTATGAACCTCACAGTATATAAATATGTGAATAGATTCTAAATATAGATATAGATATGATGGTTATTAAAATAAGTCAATTTTTTCATTTGGTGCTCAACTAGAGACTCATTTGTCCCATGCTGGTAGGAAAACTGGTTTAAAAGCATCCTTAATAATCTACCAATAAAATATCAAACCATCTGCCTCTGTTTCAACCAGGGGAGCTGCCCTTCCCAGTTTGGTAGCTATGAATATTTATGTGTATGAAGAAACACAGGAACTCACGATCTGTTGAATAAGTTAATTGAATGAATATCAGTATGCTCATTAATGTCTGGTTCAAATCCTCTTCCATAAGGCTTTGTCTTATGGAAAAAATGATTCTTTGGGTTTAGTATTTTGTTTATGGATCAGAGGATGCTTTTTTTTTTTTTTTTTTTTTGGTACTGGGGTTTGAACTCAGGGCCTCACATTTGCTAGGTAAGTGCTCCACCAATCCAAGAGGATGCTTTTTTTTAAAAACCTGTATTGCTCCTCAAACTACCCCTATCCAAATCATTATTAAAAAGATACCTATGACTATACAGTGACCTCCCATCATACAGGTGTTTAACTTAAGCATATTCAATTTTATGCACTCATAAAATGAAGAGACTCTTTAAAATGGTGCTACAAGATGTGCTTAAAGTGAAGGTTCCCAGACTTCATCCTGGACTGGCCAAATTAGATCCTCTACAGGCAAGGTCACTGCACCCTGATTTTTGCCAAATTTCCAAGATGATTCTTATGCCCTCTAAAGGTTGAGAAGCACCACTTTAGACTTTTAATTATGGGATTCTCTGTCAACTGTGTGCAAGGATTCGGGTAAAGATGAGTAAAACAATCACTGCACTCCAGCTCCTGGTCTCCTTGGGAAAATATCTGCCACCATGTTAATGATAAGGAAGCAGACTTTGATGCATAGTAAGGAGTCAAGTCTGTGTGTCTGGATTCTTATGGGCTTCTAGTTTCCTACTTAGTATGTTTCAAAACAAGTTTCCAAAGGAACATCAGAATTATATGTTTCTAAGTAAATTTCTAATTCATCAGCAGTAAAAATCAGAGGAGGCTTGGCCCTCAGTCCTTATATTTCTCCTTTTTACTCTCTCTTTCACCCCCAAGATTGACTTTGGGAGGCAAAGAAAGCTGGCAACTACTGTGAGCAAGTCCCTTAGCCCCTGACCAGCCTCCTCCCATGACTAGTGACTATTTAACAAGCTGTGCAACCCCCACAAAAATAGGAGTGCTCTCTTCATGGCCTCCAGTCCTCTGCACAGCCCCTTCTGGGTGGTCCTCACCATGTTTCTGAGTTGGGTGGGAAGCCACCTGGGCAACCATTGCCCATTCTACTCTCCCTTCATTGCACCTGCCCCAGAAGCTGGGCCTGGGCCACAGGGGCTGAGGGAAGAGAAGGCATTAGTAGGGGGAAAAAATAGAAAAAAATATGAACAGACTCAGTTTTGGAATGTCCAACCACAAAATAAATTATAAATTATATATATATATGTATATATATGTACGTATGTATATATCTCTACCATATGTGATGGAAAGACTTGTTTTCCTTTCCCAAAGAAATAAAATGGAGAAAGCCTCTTGAAAAAAAAAATTGTATGTTTCTATATTTTTGTCAAGGTGCTCATTGCTGCTGTGGAGTAGGAAAGTCATTTATAAAATTAATGAAGTTAAGTGTTTTTACTACCAGATGCCTGTTCATCATCTGGATATAAATAAAAGATTTATGGCCAGCTGCGGTGGCTTGTGCCTGTATGCCCAACTACACAAGAGGTAGAGTTAAGGAAGATCATGGTTCAAAGCCAGCCCCAAGCAAAAAAGTTACCGAGACCCCCATCTCAATAACAACAACAACAACAACAACTGAGCACGGTGACAGGCACCTGTTTTCCCAGCTATGCGGGAGGTTGGTAGCAGGATTACAGTCATTACCCTACCTGAAAAATAACTAAAGCAAAAAGAACATGTGGCATGGCTTAAGTTGCGGAACACCTGCCTAGCAACTGTGAAGCCCTGATTTCAAACCCAAGTATTGCCGGAAAATAAAATAAAAGACATAACTGTGTATAGCTATCAGAATCAAAGCACTTAAGACAGAGAAAGGGATGTGCAAAGAAGGGAGTACTCTGACATCTTATTTTCTTAGAAAAGGAATGTTTTGAAAACAGGCCAAGAGTCAAACAGCAAAAGGAGATTGGTTAGGTATATTCCAGATCTGAATGATTGGGTAACTGTCTAAAATTTGTCTTAAAATACACCAAAATAGACAAAAGTTCTGGTAATTTTATTTCTAAGAAAAAGCACAGTCTTTTTGGAAAAGGAGAACACTTTTAAATAACTGCTTGAGGGGTAAGAAACAGTTACAAACTTTATAATTACCAATACAAATATTACTGGGGTTTGAATAACAGTGTTATCCAGGTGACAAAAACCAATTGATAGTAGGATCCTATAACTCCTGGTACAGTGCTGATAGGTCAGTAGCATAAAGCAAGCAGAGACTGATCAGATACACTGGACAAAGTGTAGGAATTATGAGTGAGTATAACACATTAACAAAGAGGACAGTGCAGCCTTCCCCTAATGTGGTTGCTATGGATACACATGAGGGAGAGAATGTAGGGGTTAGGGAGCACAACCCTTTCCCAACTCTACACTATTACCCCCATCAGAGCCTCTGTGATCTCTCACCTGGATTACTGCAATAGCCTCCTAGCGTCCCCTACAGACTATTCTCAAAGCTGGATCAAGTGCTCCTTTGAGAGTGATTGGGAAAGTAATTGGAAAAAAATCCATTTATTACACCTAAAAGACACAGAGATGGAAAACAGGAGAGAAATGAAAAGAAGATTAAAGAAACAAGAGTTTCCAGAAAGAGAAAATAAAATGGCAAGAAGTTACAGAAGAAATAATATAAGGACATGCCCAGGACTGAAGGACATGGGTCCTCAGTTAAAGGGCCTTGCTGAGGGCCGAGGACAAGGCAGTCATTGTGAAAATGACCGGCAATGGTATTCAACAGCAACATAGTAAGCTAGAAAACATTAAGACATCCTCTTAGAAAAATAGGTGAGTTACTTTAGGATTTTCCTACTCGGATTGTTAATCAAGCATAAACTAGATTAAATAATTTTTTCTGGCATGCAAAGTTTTTGCCCAGCCTTTCTCAAGAATGTGCAATAGAAGGTATTCCATTCAATTAAGGGAGTAAACAGAATGAACTAGTAGTATATAGGCAGCAGGGGACTCAACATAGGAAAGAGGCCAAGAGAATTCACACAATGAGGACAAAATAAAATCCTGGGATGAAAGCTCCATTGCAATCTGAGATAGTAATTTATACTTGTATAGTATCAGTTTGATGTTTTTAAAGTTTATGAACATTTTTACAAGTCTTCCTTCTGTACTTAGACATAAAGATTGCAATTATTATTCCTGACGTGTGTATAGCTTACAAAGAATCAGTGTAGAATAGAAAGATCTGACCATAGGGATTTTGTAAAGATACGTGCAAGGTCCTTACCTTTGTAATGAGCAGCTATGTATAGTTTTTTTAAGCACCTTAGTTCTACTACCTAACAGCAACCTATGATGTAGGCAGACCAATCACTGTTGTCCTCATTTTACATGAGGCTCAGAGTAGCTACATGACTTGCCCAGGTACACACAGCTACTAAATGGCAGAAGCAAGATTCAAACAGAGATGGGTCTTCTTTCAAGTTTGGGCTTTCATATTTCCCATGAGTAAGATGGAAGGAAGAATTAAACTAGTTGTTATCAGGCTCATAATGAAATACTGTAAATAGCTATAAAACCAATATAGTAAAAACTAATAATAGAGATAAATGCAAGATTAGTAATGTTAAGATAATTACCTGTTGGTAAACTGATAAGCAACCCCACAAATAAAGTTGTCAAAGTTCCAAGGGTGCTAAAGTACAGATATGACAAAGAATACCAATTGTCCATCAGTGGAGTCCTGAAAGATAGCAAAAGCACAACTGTAAGATTCCATGTGGTGCCACTCACAGCCAACTGTATCAGTGATCTTCATAATAAAGTAGTATTTAAAACCTGCTGTTCTGATTTTCACTTATTAGATCAGGAGTTAAATGGATGACTTTGCCTTGATCATATACTTAAGAAAGAACTTCAAATGCCACAAGAATGGAGCTGCAGACTCTTCAGCCCAGGGGAAATATGAGACACAAGACCACAGTCACTCTGACTTAGCATGGGCAAGTTTTGGTGAACTCCCAACACCATAAACATAATATACAACCACAATAAAAGTCTTTTCTTGCTGGCACCAGTGGCTCACACCTATAATCCTAGCTACTCAGGAGGCAGAGACCAGAAGGATTGCAGTTCGAAACCAGCCCAGACAAATAGTTCATGAGACCCTATCTCAAAAAATCCTTCACAAAAATAGGGCTGGTGGAGTGGCTCAAGGTGAAGGCCCTGAGTTCAAGCCTCAGTACCATTAAAAAAAAAAAGCCTTTTCTTTTGTTTTCAATATTTATAGAATATTTCATTAGTTTCTGAAATCAAACCCATATAGATAAGATCTTACATATTTAATACAGTGTGTTACTCTGTACAAATGGGAAAAAAATTAATGTTTCTAGACCTATATGGCCTTAATCTCTGGACAGTGCCAACTCAACATAGCTATTAGTTGAGATGGGGTCTTGCTAACTTTTTGCCCCAGCTGGTCTTGAATTGCAATCCTCCTGTTCTCAGCTTCCCAAGTGGCTAGGATTACAGGCATAAATTACTAGTGCCTGGCATCATTCATTCTTTTAACAAATATTTATTCAGTATTTATTAGCTATTTACCATGTGTTGGCTATTGTACTTATCATGCTTATGAGTTTATCATTTGGTATATATTAGCAAATCTTCCCAAGTTAGAGTATAATTTTCTGGAAAGTCAGAACCACAGAGGATGGGAAGAAGAGGCTTTCTAAAGTAAATATTAAATAAATGGCCAACACAGTGTTAGATACATAGCTCATGTTCAAATATTATTCTTTATTAGATGAATTATTTGGTTTATTTTGTTTGGTTTGTTGCTCGTTCTACGGTGCTGGGAATCTAACCACAGGCCTTTCACATGCTAGAAAATTACCACTGAGCTCTACTTCTAGTCCCTATGTTATAAATAAGTTTACATATGAAAATGGCTGTCTGTTGTGGTACCCAGCATATAAACTTTGGCTAATATATTTCTTTCAGGAACCCAAATAAGCATTTTTCCTTAGACCTTTAAATTAAGGGAGATATTTACATAACTGGGACAAGTGAAACAAGATCAGAAAATTATGACAAAGTAAGGACATCTTAATGTCTTCCTACTTAGCCTTCAATTCACTTTTTCCTGCATTCCTTTCTAATTTTTGTCTTTCCCAACCCCTTCCCATTAGTGTGGTCATGCTTGTGCAGACCGTTCCCTAAATTTCTTTGCCTCTCTCTTCACAGTACCTTGTTTAGTTTCTAAAATATGCCTCATGCTCTGGAAGTACATTTTTACTTTACCTATGCAGAGCTTACCTGACTTGAACTCTTGGGAGTCCCACTGGCAATCATTCTCATAGCTTAACTCCCTCCAGGACATGAGCAGTTTTGCTACTAATGGTTGTATGTGTAACCATGCTCCTTCTCCCAAGACTGTGTCCACTTTAAGAAAGAGACACCATGTCTTGGAAATGAGGCTCTAATGGTGTTATTCTAGGTAAGCCCACCTGGGGCAATATTTGGGAGTAGTGGCAGTATTTTTGCATCCCTCAAACATATTCATGAAATTTGGGGTTTTAAGACTGAACAGTCATATAGTCACTAAAAACTTGCCTTCACATCCACTACATAATAAAACATTCCTCTACAAACAGGTATACATTATTTCATTAAATCAGACAATCTCAGTATTCAGAGGCCCCAAAATATACTGTATAACTGAAAATTCCAGCTGGAAGGTCACAGCTGAAATTCATTGCTAGTGCTCTAAAAAATGGGAATCTTTAAAATGAGTAGCAAGTGTCCAATGTAGTTAGATAATTACAACTTTTAGTCAGTAAAGGATCTATTTCAAAGACTATATCAGCACTATTTCTTTTATAATTGAGCTTTTCATTATAAAAGTTCTCAAAGAGAAATAATTCTTCATGCAGGTAAAGCTGGTTTTTGGCAGCGTTTATTCATAATAGAATTGTGTATTAATACTCAAGTCTTCTTTATATCTGAATATAGGGAGAAATGTTTATAGATATTAAGTAAATATGGCTTTTTGTGCTATTATTGAATAAAATATTGTAGCCAGAAAGCCACATGGGCTCTACATATTTTGAAATTAGGAAAAATCAGTGTTATAGGTAAGACAAAGAGCAACTGGATTTCTCTACTTGACACATTATTTTAAAGAGGCCTTATAAACCTTCATACCTTTCAGTGTTATGTATTTGAAAAGCACTAGTAGAAAATGGCATTTCTGTGGTTGTCATCAAATTTGTCGCATTGTATGTGCTGTTACACCCATAGGTTTCAAGGGGTAATGGCAGAGTTCTCTCAGGAAGTGGAGGGTAAAGTTGAGCTCCAATTCCAACCCACAAAGAAATGATAAATCCAGCCAACAGACCAACAAATGCTCCCTGAAAAATAAGAGTGCTTTTAAAAGAAAAATAACACCATTTTCTTTGAGATGAAAATTACATTAGAATATTAAGTCTCAACCAGACACGATAGTGCAGTATGAGGATTATAAGTTTGATGTCAGCCTGGAGTAATACCAAGACCCTGTTGGAAGGAAGGAAGGAATGAACGAATGAACCAATGAACCAATGAAGGAACGAAGGAAGGAAGGCATGAAGGAAGGGAGAGAGAGAGAGGGAGGGGGAGAGAGGAAGGAGAGAGAGAGAGGGAGGGGAGAGAGGAAGGAAGGGGGGAGGGAAAAGGAGGGAGAGAAAGAGAGGAGGAAGAAAAGAAGTTAAATTCAACACCACCTAAGTCAAATTTTCCCACTCTCTTCCTAAAGCTCTTCTCCCTTGCAGGATCTTGTCAAGGTACCAAAGACCCCCAGTCACTCAGCCTGGAGTCCTGAAGACTGCAACCCAATTCTCCTTTTCATATCCCTATCTAACCAATCACAAATTCCTGTCCATTTTTTCTTTTCAAATGGCAAATATTTCCATTTTTCCACTGTTTCCATGACTAGCACTCTGATATAGCCTCCTCATCTCTTCATACCCCCAAAACTACACCAGTTACATAGTTGACTGCAGACCAATTGCTCCCTCTATTTTATTTAACCCAGAAACAAATGGCACATCATATTTGCAAAATACTCTTACATTTAATAATACGCATGATCACAACTGAGCTATAGGATAGAGGAAAACTAACAAGCAGTTTTACAAATGACTGCAGAAGTGCACACAACCAAGTCAAGGCTCTCTAGAGATAAACAAAGATGGAGAGAGGAGAACTTGGCCAACTGTCTCCTCTGAAGACATTGATTTCCCATACTTTGGAAGACTCAGTCACCACTTTTTACCAGAAACCAAGTGTTCTGTCAGCTCTTGTATGTTTTAAGTTCTAGTTCCAAATGTTGGGGACAAGAGCAAACTTCCTCTCCTCCCTCTATGGTGGTATTTAGAAACAATGCTCAGTCAGGTTACCTGAGCCACAGAGACAGAGGCAACGGAGGAGAACTTGAGGTGAAAGAAACTATAAGTGAAATCCGAGTCAGGCTAGAAAAGAGAATGGTGTGTTGATTTGAGAGTGAGAAGGTCACTGGCCAGATCAGGTGATTTATGTTGGGGACAAGAACTGGGAAGTCTTCCCTAAATTGTGAATTTTGAGAGCTGAACTGAATTTCCCTTGGTAGTATTTCTGTACCTACTGCAGTGCTGGATGCAGAGTAGGAGCACAATGAATTGTTTAGAGGTTGGAATAGCAGAGTGGTCAGCTGTTGACAGACCAGATTTGGCTTACTCTCAACAAAGTACATGCTTGATCAAAGATCCACAAGATTGTAAAACCCATGAGGGAAGAAATGCTCAGCTTGCTACTCCCAAGGTAGTGCTATGCCCATAATGGTTACTGAATGAATGAGCAAATGAATGAATAAGACAAAAGTAGGGAGGAAAGAGGGGGAAGGAGGAAGGACGAAGGAGAGCTAGAGGGAGAGAAGAAAGCCACCCAAAAGGAAGGCAGATAATCTCCAGGTGAAAACTTGAATACTGTTAAAAGGTATTTCTTCAGGCAGGAAAAGTAGTATCTTTTTCCCACTCCCTAAAAAGGGCATGTTGGATCAAGTCAGCTACAGCTGCTCTGGAGGACTTTCATAGTGGTGAGACAGGTCAAATATCAAAAGCAGATTTTTTTTTTACACTCACCAAACCACTATGCATTTGATAATGCAGTCTATTCAAAGCTTCAACATTCTGAGGCAGACATGAACCACTCTCTTTTATTATGATTAATTTTTACTAAACTAGCTTTTCATCACACTTCATTGAGAATTAGTAATGATAACAACAGTAGTCCTCATTTGCAACTGCCTTACCAATTCCCAATGCCTTATAAGAAAAATGGAATTGTGCATGTCAATTCATAATTCTACAGTTATGCTTTAGTCATCTGAAATAACTATACAAATGTTATCCGTTTTCCTGAACTTCATCCTTTAGTGGGACTGAACCAGTGGACTTTCTTCTAGCTTTCAGAGAAATGATTTGTATTTAATTTATTATAAACAAAATTTAGTATTTCTAAGCACAGATATGTCTATGTAGAAGAACAGAGACATCACTTCTTTCTGGATAACATTTCCAGCTACAGTCAAACCTCTGGAGAGAGACCCATGCTGTGGGATCTTACCACTTCACTTTGCTGTGCTATGGCGATTTTCAGGTGTTCTCAGCCTTCTTGTCCTGAGCCTGTTGATCTCTTTCTCTAAATCCTAGCTATTAATTTCCAGAAGAACAAGAATTTAAATGCACAAAATGTTGTCCCTTTTGTTATACTATGAATATTTACAATTGCACTATATAGTTCTGGCCATTTCCAGTCAACTTCCCCCACACAAGTTCCCAATGCCTAGTACTTCATTGTGTACTCTATCAAAGTCAAAATGAGTAATTTAAGTCATCAAGACCAGTAACTAATGACAGATGTCAAAGCAACTATATCTTTACAATGGAGAAAAAGGTAGTCGGGAAAGTAATCTTTACACGCATTAATTTTTATACTTACAATTGAATTGGCAAAAGGAACCAAAATGCCCAAAGAAAACAAGCCCAGAAGTGGTCCACCAACCATGCCGAATATGCTGAGTGCTGCCTACAAAAGCAACAGAGAGTCAGTAGTCAGCAATCCCAAATCCAAACCAAAACACTTCAAAGTCCTTCCACCAATGAGGCCTTAAAGCATTCATTTTCCTCCTTAAAAATCACAGTTTTCGCCCATGGCAGCCTTGTGGTTGGCAAAGAGGCCATTAGAACTTGGAAACTTCTGCTTCGCAATCTCAAATGTCCATCTGTTCCTCCAGGTACTCTCAATAAGGCAACAAGATGGAAAGATGGAGTCATGAGACTGTGGGAGCACCTGTCAAAGACCACCCCTCTCAGCCTTGTTCTGATAAATCACTTCACTATGCTTTGCTACTCTCCCAAGACTCCTCCAAACAAGACTGTGGATAAGTACTGCTAAGTGACATGAGCACTCCTGATCTAGTTCCCTAAGGACAGAACTAGCATGAAAAATATTATTTTTAAAAATTGATCAAATGGTGTCAAAAAAGATTTAAAATCTAGTTGGATAGTTGAAATCTTTGCTTTGAGGTGAAGATGCTAAAACAAGAGGAAATACAAATAACTGAAACTCCAAAGAGATGTATGCGCCTAATAATTAAATGCCTAGCCTTTAAGAGAAAGGAGGAAGCATGGTAAAAAGTCAATCAACAAGCACTAAGTTATATAGGAAAAATAAGTTCTGGTATTCTATTGGGCCAGAATTATAGATAATGTAGAGTGACTATAGATAAAGATAATGAACCACATAGTTCAAAACAGTGAGAAGAAAGGATTTTAAGTGTTTTTAAACTACCAAGAAGCAGGATCCTGGGGGCTCCTGCTTTGCCCAGCATCCACTTTGGACTCTGGATGATGGAGAGGTCTGGAAATCCCAGAAGAGGAGCCTTAGCCAAGGAAACTTCCCACAGCACTCAAAGTGATCAGGTAAGTGCATATTTATGAACCACTGCCTAAATAGGTAAATTGAAACTGAAGTTGTTAAATGCCTATTTTATCCTGGGCACTGGGAGTAAGCACCAGCTATTCTACACATGGCACAATCCTTACCATCATGAAATTATAGATTACCAAAAAGATAATTAACATTAAATACATAACTGCAATAAAGTTTGATAATGTAGATGATAAAGGAAGTACAGGTGCTCTGGTCACATCTAGCAAAAGGGAGCTCAAACTTAGTAGGCAACAAAAAGGGGTTGTTTGAGTAAGTGACGTTTAATAAGAAGAGGTGGAGCAGAAGGTCATTGCAGCAAGAGACAGGAGCCTAGCCTGAAGCATACATGCTAAATATGGTTCAGAAAGAAAAGGCTATTCCAAAGACTGATCCACCTTCTCCATCCCAACACCTCCACAGAAGCAAGAGGGGGCTTTCCAACCCCTCAAAAACCGTTCTTTAAGAAAAACACCAAATGTCATCAGAGGTGAAGGACTTTTTAAGGAAAATAAAATAAAACAAAAATGAACTTCTACTTCTGAGATCAACTGTCTCTACTCTACCTGTCACTAAAAGTCCTAGACATGACATGTACAATACACATAAGAAGAATTTGAAAGGTGGAGAAAAGGAAGACTGGCTAACTTGGAGCCTGAGGAGTGACCTGGTAAATTCCCTGAATTTTCTTTCTGCTTCATGCATCACAATCTTAGAGTCAAGGAAGCTAGCCAACCCAGGAGTCACAGGCACAAAAACCCACAGGCACACACACATAAAAACAGCCCCAACAAAAGTGTTTTATCTCTCTAGACACAGGACACGAAAAGAAGCAGCCTAGAAAGATAGAAAATTCTCCATTCCATCCAAACACCACAAATAAATAAACTGTCACCCACGCACACCCAGTGCGAGCAAAAGCCAAGTAGAGCTGACATTCTACCCTCTGCCTGTACCAGGGTGTTCCTTTGCCTCCCTGCTGAGTAGTAGCGCCATAGGAGGCCAAGTGGAGAGTCAGCACTTTCACCAGTGCCCAGCAATAAGAAAGCCAGCTCCTCCATGATGTCAGTGGAGATCACCATCATGTTCAGAGGTATTGGATGGTCCCAGTTAACCAACTTCCCCAGGGATGGTTTCTCCCTTTGAGTTCACTGTTCATCAAGATAAGTTAAACATCTCATCAAGCACATCATTCTGGCTATACTCTTACAAGACAGATAGCAGATGCATGCCAGTGTCTTAGGACAGATATGCAGGGAGTCAGACGACCAACTGATCAGATAGTCTCTATCAGTACTTTTGCAAGGGTAATCTTTGTTATAAGGTTTATAAAGTTGCATCTGCTAACGTGGCCTTGTCTCCTGGAAATCCCTGGTTCAGAGGTAGAAATTTTCCGATCAGGTTGTATCACAGTGCTAGCTGATACATAGTATCTACCCATGAAGACACTTGAGTGGGTCCATGGCTACCATTAATCTTATAGCTCTAATGTCTCATCGTATTAACCAACTCTACCTCCTGACCTTGGAGGGGTCAATAATTACCAGAGTGCCTAAGCTTGAAAATATATTCCATGGTCAGTCAAATCTGAAGCAGATGCTGAAGGTGAGGAGCAGTCTTTGGCATGCTCAGACACTCTGGTGGGACTTGAACTGCATCAGCAGTACAGAGGTTAGAGTAGGCCCAGTGTGAAGCTGAGCAATTAGGGGAGACAATAACAGGGGTTCAACTGCAGATCTAGGACAGACTCACCCAGGTGAGGGATCGTAGTTCAAAAGTAATATTCAGAGTTGACTATAAGGACCGGGTGAATGGCCAAAAGCCAGCGAAGGCAGCCCAACTATGTGAAAGGTTGGCTAGTAGCAGGTGGTAGAGGGTGTCAGTGATCTCCATTCTAAGTACCCGGTGAATAGACTTGGAAAGCACCAATTGAATGTGACATATCAAGCCACCCAGAACAGGAGAAGGCAATGAGCACCCTGGGGCATGGAAAAACAGTTACTTGAGGGTGTAAAAGTCAGTCAACAGACTTGGTGATAGCAGACTTAGAGTTGCTTAATTACAGAGCAATGGCATGTAGGAATGGAACAGGAGGACCAAAGGGACTCGAAAGAAACAGTAAGTCTAAACACACTGTGTGTGCTGGAGGTGACACTGAAAATGCAAAAGCTTAATTTGGAATGTGATCTGATCAAGCCAAAGTCTGGATCTTATCCATTCCAAATGACTTTCCAGGCACACAGATGTTTCCAGAAAACACAGGTTGTAGAAACAGTGATAGAGGTGGCCCAAGAGAATGTGTCTTCAGGATTGGTAGACTGTTCTATGGAGCCATCCTGGACACAGGGCAGGAAGGTTATTAGTGAAGGCCTCTTCCAGTGAGTGGAAAAGTTGGTGCTTTACTCTTTAGGTAGATCAGTGAATGGGCCATGTGTCCTTCAAGGACAGTCCCTATTCAAGGAGGAATGCATGAGGCTTTCTGGAGATGAACCAATTTGCAAGTGCCACTTGGCATAACTGTCAACAGAGATATTCTGCCTTTATTATAGAGGGCTGGATTGGGTATATCCAGGCAATAGGCCTGCAGAGGCCTGGAGAGTGGACCCTGGTATAAAAATTTCAGCTGCAAGGCAGCCCCCTGGCATCAGTACTATCCCAGTCTTTGGAGCCTATCATCCTTCACAGGGGTGGAAGAGAAAAATTGTCCCTAATTGTGGCAGGTTTGGCTTAGTGGCAATTTCTAACAACAGGGCACAGACAAAGCACACACAGGAGACAGCAACAGGCCAGAATGCAGAATAAGAATCACCAGACCCCTGTGGAGTGTTTCACCATGCTTCACTAATTTCTTGATCATAGCCATCTCGCAGCCATTCCCTCCCATTTGTCCCACAGAAATGGATGTCAAAGCTCACTGGCCCCATAGCTATCCCATACAATTGCTATTGTCATATTTGGGGAAGGGGGAGTTGGGTAGCCCCAATTAACTAACCTCTTCAGTACTAACTTCTCCCCATTTAATTTTCATCAAAGATGAATCTTAGATGCCATGACAAGCAGTTTATTCATAGCAGTGCAAGACAAGTTAGCAGCAGCAGGCCAATGTAATGGAACAGATACAATCAGATGATTGACTTGCAGAGTTTCCACTCAGAGACCATTCTTGGAATTTGGGGGATCCTTCTCCCTTTCTTACATTGTATTCAATTCAGGTCTTTCATAAAGGAAGTTGAAGCTATTCTTATAGGAGTAAGTTTTGTTCTAAAGTTCAGGAGACTTGCATCTATGCCAAGGTGGCCTTGTCTCCTGGAAGTCCCCAGAACCAGGATTGGAAATTCCCAGGGTGCTGAGTGACACATAGCATTGACCCTACAAGACACTTGAGTGACTCTAGAGCTATCGTTGACCTTATTATCATGATCTGTCTCTTATCTTGTACTATACATCTTCACCCAGAATAGCAAGGAGGTGACAAATGAGGCCAAGTAAGGAACCTTGACATCTACCTCCAAGTGGCTAAAGTGATGTCAGAGAAATCCAGCTAAAACAGAAGCTGTAAGATATAAAATTTCATCATATAATATGAAAATGTGCAGGTTTTAATCAAAATTCACTCTTAATAGCAAGAACCAGAAAAATTTCAAAAGGTTTCATACTATATGATTTCATTTATAATAATGGTCTTGATATGACAAAATTATAGGAATGTAGACTAGATTGCTACAGATCAAGGAGGGAGTGAGGCAGAAAAGTAAGTGTGGCTGTGGCAGAATTGCTCTGCATCTTGACTGGCTTAAAGTCATCATCCTGGCTGTGACATTGTTCAACCAAGATGTTACCACTGCAAGATATTGCCATTAATGGAAACTAAGTAAATGGTATATGCAATCTTTGTGTTATTTTTTACAATTGCATGTAAATCTACAATTATCTCAAAATAGACATTTTAATTAAAATGAATTTTTTTTGACAGTCCTGGGGTTTGAACTCAGGGCTTCATGCTTGCTGGGCAGGTGTTTTATAACTTGAGCCATACCTTAGCCCTTTTGCTGTAGATGTTCAAATAGGGTCTCAAGGGTTTTTTGCCCAGGTGTGCCTCCAACTATGATCCTCCCAATCTCTGCCTCTGGATAGCCATGAGCAACCATACAGACCCTAAAAAATTTTTAATAATTGATTCATCTCTGTCATTTGATATATCTATATATAGATATATCTGAAAAGAAGTCTCAGTGTATGATCACATGAACATTATAAACAATAATAAGCTAAGGATTATGACTTAACCTTTTGGGGTTCAGCTCTTACCTGTAACAAAGCTCCCATTAGTGATGCCAGGGCAGCCATTCCAATACAAAGGGCTCCATACAGCACACCTGTTGGATAATGCAGTGTAAAATACAGACCTAGGGATTTAGAATTCCCAATAGAGAAAGGCATTTTTGGGTCACTGAATAATATGACTGAGGTAAAAACAGCCACACACATCAAAGCAAGCAAAACAAGGAAAGAGGTATTTTCCTACAAGATCAGCAGGGTGCAAAGACAAACAAAGCCCTTACCTTGTGTCCGAGGATTAGTTACAACAGTAGGTTATGTAAGGAAAGAACCCCTGGAATTAACTACAGGGATGTTAAGATTTAGAACTGTTATTGCTTTAATCCTCCATGAACACTTGTCCACAAAGGAAGACTCAGGTCTCTGTGTTCAGTCTGCCAGAGCAATAAAGGGAGAGGGTAGTAATAAACAGCAGACTGGGTTCTTCTGACTTTCAGTGCTTATTTCTCCTCGGAAGTGGCAATTCACACCAAGGGTGGGTGGGATCTTTTGTCCCCAATACTTCCTTCCTTCCTTCCTTCCTTCTTTCTTTCCTTCCTCCCTGCTTCCCCACCACCACCACTACTGTCTTTCTTTTTTTTTTTTTAATTTTTATTTTATTCATATGTGCATACAATGTTTGGGTCATTTCTCTCCCCTTCCTCCCTTAAACTCCCCCCCTTGCCCCCCCTTACCCCTCACTACCTGGCAGAAACTATTTTGCCCTTATCTCTAATTTTGTTGAAGAGAGTATAAGAAATAATCGGAAGGACCAAGGGTTTTTGCTGGTTGAGATAAGGATAGCTATACAGGGAGTTGACTCACACTGATTTCCTGTGCATGTGTGTTACCTTCTAAGTTAATTCTTCTCAAACTAATCTATTCTCAGGTTCCTGGTCCCCTTCTCCTATTGGCCTCAGTTGCTTTAAAGTATCTGCTTTAGTTTCTTTGCATTGAGGGCAACAAATGCTATCTAGTTTTTTAGGTGTCTTACCTATCCTCGTTACCTCCTTTGTGTGCTCTCGCTTTATTATGTGATCAAAGTCCAATCCCATTGTTGTGTTTGCCCTTGATCTAATGTCCAAATATGAGGGAGAACATACAATTTTTGGTCTTTTGGGCCAGGCTAACCTCACTCAGAATAATGTTCTCCAATTCCATCCATTTACCTGCAAATGACAACATTTAGTTCTTCTACATGGCTGCACAAAATTTCATTGTGTATAAATACCACATTTTCTTAATCCATTCGTCAGTGGTGGGGCATCTTGGCTGTTTCCATAACTTGGCTATTGTGAATAGTGCTGCAATAAACATGGGTGTGAAGGTGCCTTTGGAGTAACCTGTGTCACAGGCTTTTGGGTATATCCCCAAGAGTGGTATTGCTGGATCATATGGTAGATCAATGTTTAGATTTTTAAGTAGCCTCCAAACTTTGTTCCAGAGTGTTTGTACTAGTTTACATTCCCACCAATAGTGCAAGAGGGTTCCTTTTTCCCCGCATCCTCGCCAACACCTGTTGTTGGTGGTGTTGCTAATGATGGCTATTCTAACAGGGGTGAGGTGGAATCTTAGTGTGGTTTTAATTTGCATTTCCTTTATTGCTAGAGATGGTGAGCATTTTTTCATGTGTTTTTTGGCCATTTGAATTTCTTCTTTTGAGAAAATTCTGTTTAGTTCACTTGCCCATTTCTTTATTGGTTCATTAATTTTGGAGAATTTAGTTTTTTAAGTTCCCTATAGATTCTGGTTATCAGTCCTTTGTCTGATGTGTAGCTGGCAAATATTTTCTCCTACTCTGTGGGTGTTCTCTTCAGTTTAGAGACCATTTCTATATTGTGGAGCAGAAGCTTTTTATTTTTATGAAGTCCCATTTATCTATGCTATCTCTTAGTTGCTGAGCTGCTAGGGTTCCATTGAGAAAGTTCTTGCCTATACCTATTAATTCCAAGGTATTTCCTACTCTTTCTTGCACCAACTTTAGAGTTTGGGGTCTGCTATTAAGATCCTTGATCCATTTTGAGTTAATCTTGGTATAGGGTGATATACATGGATCTAGTTTCAGTTTTTTGCAGACTGCTACACAGTTTTCCCAGCAGTTTTTGTTGAAGAGGCTGTCTTTTCTCCATCATATATTTTTAGCTCCTTTGTCAAAGACAAGTTGGTTATAGTTGTGTGGTTTCATATCCGGGTCCTCTATTCTGTTCCACTGGTCTTCATGTCTGTTTTTATGCCAGTACCATGCTATTTTTATTGTTATTGCTTTGTAATATAGTTTGAAGTTGGGTATCGTGATACCTCCAGCATTGTTCTTTTGACTGAGTATTGCCTTGGCTATTCGTGGCCTCTTGTGTTTCCATATAAATTTAACAGTAGATTTTTCAATCTCTTTAATGAATGTCATTGGAATTTTGATGGGAATTGCATTAAACATGTAGATTACTTTGGGGAGTATCGACATTTTTACTATGTTGATTCTACCAATCCATGAGCATGGGAGATCTCTCCACTTTCTATAGTCTTCCTCAATCTCTTTCTTCAGCAGTTTATAGTTTTCCTTGTAGAAGTCATTCACATCTTTTGTTAGGTTTATATACCTAGGTATTTGATTTTTTTTGAGGCTATTGTAAATGGAATTGTTTTCATACATTCTTTTTCAGTTTGCTCATTGTCAGTGTATAGAAATACTAATGATTTTTCTATGTTGATTTTATATCCTGCTACCTTGCTATAGCTATTGATGATGTCTAGGAGCTTTTGAGTAGAGTTTTTTGGGTCTTTAAGGTATAGGATCATATCTTCTGCAAATAGGGATATTTTACAGTTTCTTTACCTATTTGTATTCCTTTTATTCCTTCTTCTTGCCTAATTGCTCTGGCTAGGAATTCCAGTACTATGTTGAATAGGAGTGGAGATAGTGGGCATCTTTGTCTGGTTCCTGATTTTAGAGGGAATGGTTTCAGTTTTTCTCCATTAAGTATAATGCTGGCTATAGGTTTGTCATATACAGCTTTTATAATGTTGAGGTACTTTCCTAGTTTTCTTAGAGCTTTTATCATGAAATGATGTTGGATCTTATCAAAGGCTTTTTCTGCATCTATTGAGATGATCAAGTGGTTTTTGTCTTTGCTTCTGTTAATGTGGCTTATTACGTTTATTGATTTTCGTATGTTGAACCACCCCTGCATCCCTGGGATGAAGCTTACTTGGTCGTGGTGAATAATCTTTTTGATGTGTTGTTGAATTCGGTTTGCCATTATTTTATTGAGGATTTTGCATCAATGTTCATTAAGGAGATTGGCCTATAGTTCTCCTTTTTGGAGTGTCTTTCCTGGTTTTGGGATAAGTGTAATACTGGCTTCATAAAATGTGTTAGGCAGTTTTCCTTCCCTTTCTATTTGTGGAACAGTTTAAGGAGGTTGGTATCAGTTCTTCTTTAAAGGTCTGATAGAAATCAGCAGAGAATCCATCAGGCCTGGACTTTTCTTTTGGGGAGACTCTTGATTGCTGCTTCAATTTCATTTTGTGTTATAGGTCTATTCAGGTGATTAATTTCCTCTTGGTTCAGTTTTGGATGATCATATGTATCTAGAAATCTGTCCATTTCTTTAAGATTTAAATTTATTTGAATATAGGTTCTCAAAGTAGTCTCTGATGATTTCCTGGACTTCCATGGTGTTTGTTGTTATCTCCCCTTTTGCATTCCTGATTTACTAATTTGGGTTTTTTCTCTCCTCTTTTAGTCAGGTTTGCCAGGGTCTATCGTTCTTGTTTATTTTTTCAAAGAACCAACTTTTGTTTCATTAATTCTTTGTATGGCTTTTTTGGTTTCTATTTCATTGATTTCACCTCTTATTTTTATTATTTCTCTCCTATTTGTTTTGGGATTTGCTTGTTCTTGTTTTTTAGGAGTTTGAGATGTATCATTAGGTCATTGATTTGGGATCTTTCAGTCTTTTTAATATATGCTCATGGCTATAAACTTTCCTCTCAGGACTGCCTTTTGTGTGTCCCATAGGTTTGGTAGGTTGTGTTTTCATTTTCATTGACTTCCAGGAACTTTTTAATTTCCTCTTTTATTTCATCAATGACCCATTGTTCATTAGCAATGAGTTACTCAGTTTCCAGCTATTGCATGTTTTTTGTCTTTATTTTTGTTGTTGAGTTCTAGTTTTTTGCATTGTGATCAGATAGAATGCATGGTATAATTTCTATTTTCTTCTATTTGCTGAGGCTCACTTTGTGCCCTAAGATATGATCTATTTTGGAGAAAGTTCCGTGGGCTGCTGAGAAGAATGTATATTGTGTAGAAATTGGATGAAATGTTCTGTAGACATCATGTAGGTCTATTTGCTCTATTGTATATTTTAGATCTAGGTTTTCTTTATTGATTTTTTGTTTGGATGACCTATCTATTGATGATAATGGGGTGTTAAAGTCTCCCATGACCACTGTGTTGGAGTTAATATATGCTTTTAGGTCCTTCAGGGTATGTTGATGAAATTGGATGCGTTTGACATTGGGTGCATGTAGGTTGATAATTTTATTTCCTTTTGGTCTAGTTCCCCTTTTATTAGTATGGAATGTCCTTCTTTGTCTTGTTTGATCAATGTAGGTTTGAAGTCTTCTTTGTCAGAGATAAGTATTGCTACTCCTGCCTGTTTTCAGGGGTCATTGGTTTGGTAAATCTTCTTCCAGCCTTTCATCCTAAAGCCTATGCTTATTTCTCCTTATAAACAAATTGTTGGATCTTCCTTTTTAACCCATTCCCTTTTTTTTTTTTTTGTATTCAAGTTCTCACTGTGTGGCCTAGGCTGGCCTGAACTTGTGATCTTCCTGCCTCAGCCTCCCAAACACTGGGATTATAGGCATGCACTAGCATGCCTGGTTCTTTTTTTTCCCCTCACGATGCAGAGTATCAACCTCAGGACCTTGAGCATACTAGGCAAGCACTCACCCTTTCCTGTTAAACTAGCAAAGAAAGGTCAATTCAAGATAAGTTCATATCACCCCTTCTACCAAGTGATTTCCAAAATTGCTTTATAGAAATTCTCAAGTCATCGCTGGCCACAGATTGTGGAATTTTGTCCCTGTTTTGACTTTCTGTATGTTCTACATTTTCCCCAGGCATATGTGTTACTTTTAAAATTAGAGAAACACTACCCCCCTCCAAGCCTTTTATTTTTAAAAAAATTCATTCCACAAAAATTATTTGCAATCAATCAATATAATTTCCCATGCTCAAAATTCAAAATATAGAAAAAGTAATAGGAATTTCTCATCATAAAATTAGTGCATTCTTTATATTGCTATTTCCGTACTTATTTGTACTTTTGTTAAGTATATTAGATAAATGATCTTATTTCATCTGAAAACAATAAAAACCTTACATTATTTTATTTTTTACAAAAAGCTCTGGTTGCAATGATTTCTAATGCCTCTCAATTCTGACATAAATAATATTTCTAATTTATTTACCTTGACTTTTCTCTATTTGATAGGTCATGAATGGTCATAATTATGGTTTTAGTACTTAAAATTATTGGAAAAAATTCATATCAACTGTCATATTCCTATGATGTCCTTACTGCACATACACAAAATAAAGATTTCATAGAACCCTTCAAAATGAATGAAAGTCAGGCCAGTCCCTGTGGTACATCCCTGTAATTCCAGCACTCAGGACACTGAGGTCAGAGGATCAGGAGTTCAAAGCCAGCCAATCTACATAGCGAGACCAAGTCTCAAAAAAAAAAAAAATGATGAAAGTCTTATCTACAATAGCAAGCTTCTCTGTCATAAATCATCATTAAGGATAGTCAAATAGGATTCCTGGAAATTGTCTTTGTAGTCCACTGACAATTTTTTTGAGACTGTCTCACTATGTACCCCAGGCTGGCCTTGAACTCGTGATCCTCCTGCCTCAGCCTCCCAAGTGCTGGGAGTATAGGCCTGCACCACCATACCAGGGTTAAATATTAAAATATTTAATATTTTAACCAAGGTTTAATTAATTAATTGCAGTTTTCTCTACCTTAAGTTGTAGTCATACATATGCATGAATGAACTTCCACACCAGGAGGTACTTATACTTCCTCATAGGACAAAAATTTCTAGCATCTCAAAAAAATATATATCTATGAGCTGGAAATGTGGAAAAGGAAACTTACTCATTCCTTGGGAAACCCAAGAGAGAGACCTTTCAGAGAGGGACCCGAAGTGAGGTTTAATTAGATCTTCCACAGTTACTGCTGCCAAGGCATTTATACTGGAGGATACTGTGCTGTAAAAGGAAAAAAGCCTTTTGAGTTATATCATTTTAACTTTAGTAATATTTTTAGTGGGAATGAGAAAGAAATAAGCAAACTGACACTACTAAAATATAATCAAATTTCTGTTATTTTTAATGATCATAGCAATCTCTTTCTGAAAGCTGTTATTATCCAAGAATGATTCAGGCAACATTCAAAAGCTTGATAGTAAAAGAGAAAAAATCAGTTAATGTTGATTCTATTTTTCAAGTCAATATTCTATGTCTATAAAAAGAATTTGCATGTATTACTCAGTCTCATTATGCAACTTGAAGGCATGCTTTTCTTATGCATAACAGGACTGCCATAAGTCCTCAACAACACAGGCCATAAATATCAAGAATATTAACTTCCTGAATCATCACAACACATGTTGCACATGTTGATAATAGCACTTCCTTAGAGCAAACACAGGAAGAAAGTGTAATGAATGCACTCAGTGACAAAACACAGGACAGGATTCTTTACACAATGCATAGTTTCAACATGTAAACAGGAAAGCGCATGATAATTTTCCCATTGACTGTGTTTAGCTACATGTATGTTTTAAACCATCACATGATCATCATTATTGCAACGCTATAGTGTGTGTAATGGAGTACCAGAGAACAGAGACCCAGTTAAAAGTAGAGAACCTGTGGAAGTTAAGAAAGTGAATATTGCTGATGTACTTTCTATACATCAGCAAATGTATATAGAATTTTTAAACCTGCCAAAATAATCATAAGAAGAGGACTAAGGTAGAAAGGAAAAAAATAGAGGGCATGAACCAATTTGAGTTATAATACATATATACAGGGAAATGTCACAATGAAACTCTCTGTAGAGCTATCTTAAACAAACAAAAATGTCTTTTTTTCAAAAATGGAGAACAGGAGGGCAAAACAGTTCCTGTCTGGGGGTTGTTGGTTCCAATAGGAGGAGGGAGGATATAAGGCAAGGGTGAAGGAGGGTGAGTGTAGTGGAAATACTATGTACTCATGTATGAAAATGGAAAAATGAGACCTGTTGAAACTCTTCCAGGAATGGGGGGAGGGGGACATAAAGGAGAATGATGGAGGGGGTGAATTCAATATGATACATTGTAAGAACTTTTGTAAATGTCACAATGTAGCCCCTGTCAACAATAATAAAGAAAAGAGAAAAAAAGTAGAGCTTGATGACAAGAGGATGCTACCTCACAGACATAAGTGTCAAAGGAACAGAGAGTGTACATGAAGTAGTTTGCCTACTTTGGGTCATTTGTGCCCAGGAGCAAATTCATCTTATCCCTCAAAATAACCAATAAGAAAACAAAGATCCCTACAGAAAATGACATGATCATAGAATGATATGTTCATACCTTAATGTTCCACTGTAAACACAAGCCACAAAAAGACCAGGAACCCCCGGATAATCTTGCAATATGTCCAGTACCAAATAAGGCAAGAGCTGGAAAAGTCCAAAATGTACCCAAGTATTGTTTATATTGAATAAAATTAATTAATATCTGATGTATCTTGTGTTCTTCCAAAATTGAAGGGAAATACTCCATATAACTGAAATTTCCAGATCCTTAGTTTAACTCTTTAATTGTTAACACTTAAAAAGAAATAAATAGCACAGTAGTAAAGTCTTTTGATTCACACAGATATGGCTTTGGTCACTTAATTTCTTTGAGCACCATTTTCCTCATCTGAAAGATAGGGCCATGACAGAGGTCAATATGAGAAGAGGATCAGGAACCAGTGAAAAGGTCAGTTAGCGATGAACCATCTTGGTGATGTAACACATTTGTACATGGAAGCAATTCTAGGAATCTCTCTGCATAGCTATCCTTATCTCAGCTAGCAAAAATGCTTTGTCTTTCTAATTATTGCTGATGTCTCCTCTTCAACAAAATTAGAGGTAAGGGCAGAACAGATTCTGCTTGGAAGCGAGGAGGGGTGGGAGGGACCCAAACAATATATGCACATATGAATAAACTAATAAAAAAAAAGACAGGGGCCATGATACTAAACTCTGAGTTTCTGTGAAGGTGTTATAATCTATGTAAAGCTTTTATGCAGAATATGCAGAATATGGAATGTAGCAAATGCTCAACAAAGGCAGCTGTTATTCTATGGAAAAATAATCCACTTTTAAGGAAATATTTTATACTCCTCTGTGCTTAAAGTAATATTCTCTTTACTTGATAACTCGAGGCTATTATGAGAACATCATTCACTGCCCAAGATTGCAGTTGTAATTTTAGTGTGGACAGTGGCCTCAGAAAATCCCTAAAACTTGCATCTTTTCAGAAAGTTCCTAATACCAACTTACTTTGTGATAACTTACATTTTTAAAAATAAATATTAAAGAAGGATGAGCAGATTTTGACTTTAAGACTGATTTACCTGGCAATCTTTCTGCAAAATTAATTTTTTGACTCAAAAGTCAAGTGGGTAACTTTCTAAAAAACAGTCCTCTCATTGGCACTGAAACATTATCGATTTCTTCTCCCACAGTACAGGGAGGATGACATGCTTTACTTCTCCAGCGTCCACAAACTCTCTGCTTTCAGTTAGCAATAGTGTTTGAGTGGGAGACAGAAGAACTTTTTCCACTGTTGTGGTGAGCTGTTAAGCTTTCTCTTCTTTCTCCAAAGCTTACTAATTCTTTATTACAAAAAGAGAGAGAATAGAACTCAGCAAATTTGATCAAAACTCCACTTTCCCAGATGTTTTAAACATTTAAATAGTATAAAACAAAAGTAAAGTTTCCATCCTTAGCATTATATGAGATACAAAATCCTCTATCTTATCATTGATTTTCTCAAATTCTTCAAAGTGATTACTGCATACTCTGAATGGCTCCCTCAGGTATAGGTAGAATCACAGAATTAAGATTGATAGGTAGAAAACAAGTAAAATCTTATCTAGGCACTAGTTCTGCTTTCTCAGGGTGAATGCCAGCCGAGCATAGCAGAAACATATCTTTGCTCTTCTAAGACAAGGTTTTGATGTGATCTTCTACTGACTGACTTATTGCACTATTCCCCAGTGAAATTTTAATTGAATTAATTAGCTAACAACACAATACTGGAGACACCCAGCAAGAGAAACATACCCTCAGACACACCCTCTAGGCACAGCAAGGAAGACATCCCTGAATATGCTCTGTGACAAGAAGTCTCAAGGGGAGGAGGCTGTAAGGGATTATTTTTGGTTTTGGTGGTACTGGGGTTTAAACTCAGGGCCTCACACTTGCTAGTAGGCACTTTACCACTTGAGCCACTCCACCAACCCTTTTTGGTGTATGTTGGGTATTTTCAAGATAGCATCTCGAAAACAGTTTGCCCAGGCTGGCTTTGAACTGCGCTTCTGAGCTCTGCCTCCTGAGTAGCTAGGATTATAGACATAAGCCACCAGCACCCAGCTGTAAGGGACTTTTTGGTTGTTTGATTTGGTTTTGTTTGTTTGTTTGGAGGATTTTTTGCTCAGGATAATGGAGAGTATTTTAGAAACATTTTTTTAATCCCTGTTGTCTTTGTGATACAAACTACAGATAATAAGACTGACAAAAACTATTCTTGATCAGCAGGGAACATGACAGAAAGTGTCTCCAACATCAGAGTAAATGAGACCCTTGGGTTGTTTGACGAACCAGGAGGAAGCACAGATAAGAGGGGTTGAGACCACAGCTCAGTGATGCTCTCTTTTCTAGACAAACACGGTACATTTCCACCAATATGAATTTGAGCCTGTCTGCACTCCATGAGGCCCCCTGGGTGCTTGATCTACAAGTAGATCTTAGAAAATAATTTTGGCAAAAACTCAGGTTTTTGGTGTCAGGCGGTTCTGGATTTGAATTCTTGCTACACTTTTCGAAAGACAGAGCATGCCATATATAGGTTCACAGAGCTCCTGAGGCAGCCCATCTGGGTTTGAATCCTGGCCCCAGGTTTACTAGCTAGTTACTTACTTAATTAAATCCTGTTTTTCATCTTTGAAAGGGAGGCAGTCATATACCTTACTCAGAGCATAGTTGTGAAAATTTAAATTTCTATAAAGCATGTACAATAGTACCTGGACCATCATAAATATTTGATGAATGCTTCGCAGTTATTCTTACTTATTAGCAGTGTGACCCTGGGCCAGTAAGAAAATCTCTCTGAGATTCATTTCATCTCTATAAAGTTGGAATTACAGGGTTGTGAGAATTAAATGAACATGCAAATCTCTTGGCACAGGATCTCGTCACACAGTTAGTACTCATCCCTGTTCACTTGTTAGATCTGCTTCTCCACCATTTAAAACTAGAATACAAACCACTTATAAATGAGTGCTCTATCCTGCAAACTGCTCTACAGTACCATGGTTTGTGTATAGTTTTTCTTAACTGTGTTTACACTTCTACTCCTAGCCCAGAGATATTTCTAGCTGACTCTTGGCTGGAAATTTTTCTAGATATTTCAATAATTTAATTTTACATAAAGCATTCTACATTCTTGCCCTACCTGCTAAAATATATATATGGCCAAATGCTTTATAGAATGAGAATGACCAGATCACACCTATTTGCTGTATCTTTATTAAAATATGAACTCTTCCTCCCCAAGTTTTAATATCTTTAATACATGAGTGAGAAAGATATGATGCCAACCTGGTCTGCTTCAGACACTTTCTTAGCTGTCCATGGATCACAATCATGGTACCTGGAATACAGGGCAAATCCACAAAACACTGAGCAGATAAGGATTATCCAAAGTCCCACAAGATTGATGTAGAGAGACCTAGAGAAGGGGAAACAGACCATCAAATGACAATCGTAATATCTGTTCCAAAGACTAAAACACTGTTGCATGAACAGGAAAGAGATTCATAATGTTAGTCAATAAATGCACATTATCTTTTGCTATCAAAATGCTACTTTTTAATTCTAGTCTATCCTCTGCTTATAATGTCAATCAATGACATCACAAATATCTGGAAATATTGTAATAGATGTGCTTCTCCACTGAGTGAGTGTGTCCTGGTTGTAATTCACAGGCATTCATAGCTGTTTAATGGTATCTAATTAAGATACTTCAAGTCTTTTTGTCATGAAATCAGCATTTTAATAGGCAACAGAGCAGTAACTATTACTCATTTCCTTTAAAACCTATTGCAAGTATAAACAATAAACATGGCTAATATCTACATAGAAACTCAGTAATAATAATTTGTAAGACTACTCACTGAGTATGGAAGGCAAACCTGTAGTCCCTGGACAGGCTTCTTCGTAACATTTGAGTGTGCTCCAGTACAGTATAAATGTTCACACAATGGCACTGGGCTCAACCCTGAGCACAGATCCTGCCTCTACCATATGGGATTTACCAAGAAATTTAGACTCTATGATTCTCAGCTTCATTCCACCTAGAGATAACAATGCTCAGATCATACAGTTATAGGACTGGTAGCACTGTGCTTGGTTTATAATAAACATTTTTCAGTAGCTCCCTTTTGGGGGATTCTATACCCAGTTATTGTATCTATATTAACAGTGACTTTTCGTTGTGGAATTTTCCAACGACTTAATTTCTAAACCAATTTACTTTCAATGTATTGAGTTCTGGCATAAGACCTTACAATATAGTCATGTTTTTCCTTTGAACAGAAACAAGACTAGCATTCTTTCCTACTCCAGCCACTTTCACTCAATCTTTTTAGTTTTTAAGCCCCTAAATGCATGTGAACAAATCAGCCTTATTTATCATTACAAGGAGTGATAGTCACCAAGCTGACCTGAGGCCTCCAGAGAAAAGAACCAGTCACTGTCCCAGCTCTTTGCTCAAGCCAAGATGGCTTGAGAGTCCCTGACCATCCTGTTCTTACCACTTCTGTGCTTTGTCCAAATCACCCTATCCACATGCAATGCCTTCTCACTCTTCTCCACCCGTCCACGCTGTGAGCATCCTTCATATTCACTCTGCCAGGTCAACAGGTCCCCCCAGCCCCCCTCTGCCTTCGTATCACATCAGATGAAGTGACAAAAGAAATTAACATTTACTACCCCCACTATGTGCTTCCCAAACCCACACAGTATTTTACAAAACATCCCATAGAATGTATAGCATTTCTTACACTCATTTTACAAGTTTAGAAACCGAAGCTCAGAGAAACAAAGTAATTTGTCCAGGATCATTCAAGCAACAAGTATTAGAGCAAGATTAGAGACCCATAATGGGGACTGAAAACAAAATACAAGGTAATTTATATACTCTGGAACACCTTCTCTGTTGTTACATTGTTTCATGAAACTGTTTTATCTCTCCAGTATTATTTCACTTTTCACAGAGTTGAATATACTTTTTTCTAATTTGATGTTAAATTTATATATATGTATACCTATACATTATATATTATATATATAAATTTATATATTATATATTAAATATATATATATATATATACAAACACACGCACATATATATGATCAAACCCAAGGCCTCATGCATGTTAGGCAAGCTACCTCCCCCAGCCCCTATTTATAATTTTTTACCCCATAGATCTCTTAAATGTGTATTTATTTGATAAGGTTGTTTTACCTAATAATTCATATACATATTTTCAAATATCTGATATAAAACATGCTGCACCACTTTGTTCTGCTTGGTCTTTGTGTAAACAAGTTACCATTTGTCTCTAAGAATTTCATGACACTAAAGACTTAAAATTGAACTAAACTTGACTTCTGGAAGAGTTCCCATGAAACAACTAAAGGTTATAAATGATTCCTACACCATAGTTTGGCTTACAGTTTTGCCTGGAATCTGCTTTTACAGGAAATGTATCTCTGCACTTGGGACTGGTTGACACCATAGATGCTGGTCCATGTGAAGGTCCCTCCTAAGATAATTGTCCAGAACGTGTGCCTTTGCAAAGGGTTAGGATTAAAACTAAACAAAAAGAAACAGAAAGCAAGTCTGAACCATTGATGAGAAAATAAACAAAATCCTCCTAAAATATTTTTGGATGCAATATATACCTATTGACATACATGAGACTTGACTGTACAAACTTATTAAGTAATCATAAAAGATACAAATATTTTTAACTTAAATCCAATTAAATTAAAGTTTTTGGGGGCATGGTCAAGTGGTAGAGTGCTTGCCTAGCAAACACAAAGTCTTGAGTTCAAAACCCAGTACCACAAAAAGAAGGAGAACAAGAAAATAATAATAACACTGATTCTAAGATGTTAATATGCAAAAAAGTTTTTATTTTCAGAGATTTGGAAATTCTAGATAGGATTGAGGGGAAAAAATGTTCTAATCATTCTGAACATTTAGATAAATTTTTCTCCCATAGTCTCAAGAAGCTGTTGATATAAACAAGTAAGCCTTGCTATAATCACAGAAGGGAGAAAGGGACAGAGGTGGAGAAAGAAAACAGAGATGTTTGTACGTGCACCACACAAATAGATATGGCACTAAAGTGAACACAAAATTAACAGATTTTGAGTATATAATTCCTCTCCTAGCACATGTACAGTCATAGTTCTTATTAATATTCAAGTTCAATTAGTACAGTTTAAAGAATTTCACTTGTTCAAATTATCAAGTCATTATAATCATGCTTTCTTAAAATTCTGTGTGCACAAGCTAAATAGTAATCATTTCAAATCATTTCATGGCATGTACATAACTCTAAAACATTGTTACAAAGAAAGTTCAATTTCTATAATCGAAATTATCTCTTAACCCTTTTTAATATATCTCTTTAAAAGGGAAGATTCTGCTTGCCTCTGAAAAACAATATGAACTTGAGAACTCTCTGCAAGATAAGCTTTCATGAATACTGTCTGAAAATTTAAAAATCCTGCAAATCTATTCTAAATCTTATATTTGAGATCAGTTAAATAAATTATTCTGACTTTGTGTATATGCAGGCATTTCTGTGGAAATGTGAGAGCTTGCTTCCCATTGTCTAACATTTAATAACAAAGTCTAGGAGTCTCAGGAGTGTTGACTGTCTCCACAACTCCATATTAGTTAATGAAAGTCAAGAATCGAAAAGATTCAGTGAGCTATCTGAGGAAGTAAGATGGGATTTCAAACACACAACTTGGTGACTTTAAATCTTTTCTTCAAGATAAGGGGAAAAGAGTTTCTGCTGGGTATTGAGGGGGGGAGCGGGAGGGGTGGAGTGGGTGGTAAGGGAGGGGTGGGGGCAGGGGGAGAAATGAACCAAGCCTTGTATGCACATATGAATAATAAAAGAAAAAAAATAAAAAAAAAATCTTTTCTTCATTAATCTCATTTAGAAAAGATTTTCATCATCCTCTCAAAATCTCAGAATAACAAGGGATACTGTTGAAAAGTCTGAAACACAATAGGGCTTTTTATGATCATTTATTGGTTGGAAATCTTCAAAGTTAAGGTCATAAAATAATGAATGTTATTTTTTATTACTTACTAGTTGGTGACCTTCAAAGTTAAGGTCATAAGAATGTCTACCTTTATTTTTTAGAATCTCTTGCTGATGTGTAAGCTATCACTTCTATACCAAAATATGTGTGTCCTTCATAGAGAGTGACAAATACTGTCAAAAATAAATGATTGGCTTCATACTCTTTCCCCACAGCCTGGCCTTCCAGAAAGAGATTTGGGACTAATCAGGTTCTCCTAAGCAGCCGTTGGCTATAATCAATTCCTAGTATTCATTACCCTTCTTCTGGTAAGAGCGACCCAGCTTTGCTTTGGGAAACTACTATTTCTCCTTAGCTAGTCTAAATGAATATCACCAGAATATCTTGTTCTGCCAGAATCATGGCTCAAGATAGATCACTTGGAGGTTTTTCAAATCTGAGTTTTGAAGTAAAAGAGAAAAAAAATCTAAAAACAGTTGAAATTGATTCACTGAAATTCATTCCTGAAAATGAATATGTTGATACTGTCCAATTTCTGAAAAAGCCTTTGTCAAACTTTGATCTAGAGAGACCAAAAACAGACATTGAGGGCAATGTGGTTTTTCTCTCTTTTGTCAGTGATTTCAGATGCCTGTCTTAAGTAGGGGTGCTTAAAAAAAACTTATCCAGATCAAAATGAGCCTCTTTCCACATTGAAGGTGAGCATAAAGCTGACACTACTGATCCAAAAGTGAAGGTATTTTAAAAATTCTTTTAAATTGTACAATATATTTGGGATGAAATATCTAGTTTTCCCATAGTCCTTTTCACGAAAACTGAGTGTTTAAAACATGTCAAATCTTCTGCTATTCTGGCACTTAAAGCATTAGCCATAACTTTTCTAGTCAACCATTTTATATCATTTTCTAGGAAATAATGTATATGCACAATACAGAATATACTAATAAAATGTAATATTAAATAATAATAGACTATATTGATGTACAATTTATTACCAGGGTACTACAAAAGAGAAACCCTCAAAAATTGCTTGAAACAAAGAATTGTCAAAATGGAATCATTGTCTCTTAAGAGACTTCCTTTTCTTATTTTTCTACCATCTCTTCCTACCTTTCAAACTGTTAGACACTTTAATATCTAATAGAAAAATACCTTTTTTGCTCTAAGGCCCTTCTCAGAAGGAAACACCATCTTAACAGCCTGTAACTAAGAACCATTTGACCACTTAAAACCCCTGAAAACTTACACATTGACTTGCCAGCTCCCATTTGCTGAACCACATCCTGAGTGCCTTATTCATTTTCTAGTGTAAACCTTCTATTTCAGTAAAAGAGTCATTTTTACAGAGAAATCAAAAGATTTGTTCTATTAACCAAGAGTTAAATGGCAACTTACTTCCAGAAGTTTAATCTTCCACCATTATAGGCATCACTTAAAATCGCATTGATGCCACCTTGAGTCACTGAAGCCTGTATAATCACAGATGCAAATCCAGCCACAATGATTCCAACTTGAAAAACATCTGTCCAGACAACTGCTTTAAGACCACCCTTGAGGGGAAAGTGTATTCGGATTAATGCTTCTATCACACATGATTAAATATTCAGGGTTATACATTGTGCAGGGCAAAAATGATGAAAACGTGGACCTTGGTCAAGAAGTGCACTCAAGGGAGATGATCAGGTTGGGACAACCCTTACAGCAAAGGGAACGTGTAGGCCAAGCCCTCAGGTAAAGCAGAGACAAAGGGGGAAGTTTATCCCAAAAGAAAACAGCCTGGGAAAGCTTGAAGAGATCAAACTGCATGGCCCATTGAATGGGGCCATATGTATATAAATGCAACACATACATACATACATATACATGCATACACACATATGTAGTAGAGTGGTATGCGGAGAATATTAGGAAGAAAATTCAGCATCAAATTGTGAAAGTCCAATAGGATTTTATCCTACAGGAAGGGCCAATATTCACTCACTCTGCACCCAGATAGTCATATCAGTTGTTGAAATACTAACTTTTTTTCTTAGGCTAGTCTTGCTACACACTTTCCAAGTGACCTCCCCCCTCCTCCCATCTCCTATGACCTGGGTTTAATGGCCTCTGCCTGAGGATCTCATCTTCTATCAGACATAGCAACTTACATGTTAATACTCAGAATATCAAGGACCCCATTTAATTTGCATCACTGCAAAAGATCAGCATCCATGATAATACCAATGTCATATCATAACGTTGTTACAGTTTGTCAAGCCTGCTTATACGTAATTGGGAGTTATCACGAGTTTCTATGCTGAAGAATTATATGAGTTTATCGATAACAATTTGGCAATTGTAAGGATGCATCAGAAGATAAGAATAGGGACCATCAAAATGGTGCAGATGAAAGAAAAAAATCAGGTATGATGCACATTGTATTAAGGATCAAATTTTACACCAGACCAAATATTCCTTACAAAACAAGTATAGTATAAGAGGTGAGAGGGGACTAGGTATTAACAACCCACTTTACAACATAGGAACTATTGGAAATTTCAATTTTGAAAAGCAAGTAGGGCTGATTGAGTGGCTCAAGTGGTAGAGTGCCTGCCTAGCAAGTGTGAGGCCCTGAGTTCAAACCCCAGTACTGCCAACAAATAAATAAATAAATGAAAAGCAAGTAGGTAGAGGGAAAGAGGGAATTATATTCTTGACGTACCAGAGTGCAGTAGAATGTGCAGACCACCCCTGTTGCCACTACTGCGCCCCACAGATCAAATCCTGTGACTGTAGAAGGAAAGAGAATGCATGTATAACTATAAAGCAGGCATAACAAAAACATTTCCCAAAAATAGTCAGTGAGAGAAGCTATCTGATTTATTGAACACTTAACCTCTTTACCTACTTGCTTAAAACTAGGATTAACTCTTGTAAATGTCACAAAAACGAATGAGTATGGTGAAAGAAAAGACGAATGGAGGGGACAGAAGAGGGTAGTGGAGAGGTAATCATGATCAAAGTACATTATATGTATTGAAATGCCATAATGAGACCCTTTACTACGTACAATTGATATGCCCCAATAAAACAAACAAACAGGGCTGGAGATGTGGCTTAAGTGGTAGAGTGCCTTGCCTACCAAAGACCTGAGTTCAAACTCCAGTACCACCAAAACCAAAACAAAACAAAAAATGGAGTTTAAAATTTGTATTTGAGGAGTTACATGGACATGGTATTGGTTTCTACCCTCAACCATCTTATATATAGATCCAACAGCAGCTAAATTAAATGTAAGGGAAAGCATTTATATTGTAACCAAGCTAAGAAACTGCTTGATTTTGTGAGGTGGTTGCATAGACTGAATGCGGTCAGAGGTATTTGCCATCTCTTCCCATTAGACATAGTTGAGATAAATACACTACTACCAATCCTTAAAAGATGCATTATTAAGATGCATGTTACTAAAATGGGACTTCTATCAAGAAAAGTCACGTACAACCAGGTGCCAGTGGCTCATGCCTGTATTCCTAGCTACTAGGGAGGCTGAGATCAGGATGATCATGGTTCGAGGCCAGAATGGGGAAATAGTTTGAAAGACCCCATCTCCAAAATAACCAAAACAAAATGGACTGGAGTTGTGGCTCAAGTGGCAGAGTGCTTGCTTTGCAAGTGTGAAGTCCTGAGTTCAAACCCCAGTTCCAATCCCCTCCAAAAAAAAGTCTTACAATTTTTTTGCTACCATGTATCTAAGAAGTGGAAGACTATGTTGTGATGGTTGGCCTTGATGATCAATTTGATTGGGTTGGGAAATGTCTAGGAGATTAGTAAAGCACACCTCTGGGTGTGTCTGTGAGGGTGTTTCCATGATAATTAACCAAGTGGAAAAGACCTGCCATGGATGGAAAGAACAAAAGGGAAGAAGTGGGAGCTTAGCATGCCAGCATACTATTTCCTCCACCATGACTTTTTTTTTTTGGCAGTACTAGGGTTTGCACTCAGGGCCTCACACTTGCAGACAGGTGCTCCATCCCTTGAACCACTCCACCAGTTCCCCTACGCCCTTCTGCCAGGATACTCTGCCTCACCACGGGGCCAGAAACTTGGAGCCAGCCGACCTTGGACTGAAACCTCTGAAATAATGAGCCAAAATATTTCTTCCCCACTTAGGTTGTTTTCTTGGGTATTTATCACAGCAATGAAAGAGCTAACTAATGCATATGTTATGTTTTATAGTGGAGGAATAAATAAAAAACAAAAAAAATTACCTACAGGAGAAGAAGGAAATAGGGTAAGAAGACAGGAAAAAAGCAATACCTCTCTAAACATATTCAATTTATAGTTTTGACTGTGAAATCATGTACATATTTTACATAATTATGAAAAATTAAATTGAAAAACAAATGCCTTACAATCAAAAGCAAAATGAAATAAATTAAACCTGGCTATATCAAGTTTGTGACATAACACCCAGAGGAAAAAAGTCCCAAATACAAAGACTTTAAACACAGTAATTTAACATATATTAAACATTAAACATATTAAATAGTAAACATGTATTCTACTGGAATGCATCCAAAGGAAAAAGAACTCTAAAGAAAAATATTGTAACTGTTTCCAGCCATTGTATTATCAGTTACAGTATGGGAATTGCTATTGAAAAACTATTACCTCAGTGGTTCTCAACTTTGATTACACATCAATATCACCAGAGAACAATTTTAAAATCCTGGTGGTGGGGCCACTCAACAGGCCAAGTAACTCAGAATTATGGGAGTGAAGACCCAGACATGAAGTAGTTTTTAAAGCTTCCCAAGTGAGTTCAATGCTCAGCTAAGTTTAAGAAATCAGGAGACAACTTGAGGAGGACAAAAATAGAACAATATGAGCAGCAATAGTAAGATTACTGCAGCCATAGTGGTGCATGCCTATAATCCCAGCACTTGGGAAGCTGAGGCATGAGAATCACAAGTTCAAGGCCAGTCTGGGCTACATAGCAAGATCCTGTCTCAAAAACCTAATAATTAATAATAATATGTTATGAAATAATGATATAGGATATGAAATAGCACTAAATATATATATCATAAATTCATGATTTTAAAAAAAATCTGTTACTTAGAAAGAATAATGGGAATCAATTTATTTTGTGGTAGTTACTTATGCATATATTTAGGAGTACTGGGTCCTATCCCCAGCACTCTGTGCATTCTAAGCTGAAGGACATCCTCCCACCAAGCCCTGAAACTTATTATTTTTAAACTAACAAGAGGAAAAATCAGACATTTATCTCTCCTATACAAACTAGTTTTCAGAGTTATCAAATACCCAATGATAGTTTCTCTTTATATATGAAGAAGAAATAATGACATTAGAATATCCCACTTTATAAGACCTAATTAACTACTAGATCTATAAGCTTATAGACATTACCTAGGAAATATTATTTCCAAAAATTGGAACTGCAGTCTAGAAATGGTGTGAGATCTAATGACTATTAATTAACCTCACAAAATGCAGACGGCTGAGGACGCACTGGCCGATGGAAATGCAGTCAGCAAAATTAAGAACCTGGGAAGCAGGGCACTGGTGGCTCATGCCTGTAATCCTAGCTACTTGGGAGACTGAGATAGGGAGGATCACGGTTCGAGGCTTGCACAGGAAAATAGTTCAAGAGACCCCATTTCCAAAATAAGCAACACAAAATGGACTGGAGGTGTGGCTCAAGCAGTACAGCATTTGCTTTGCAAATGCGAAGTCCTTAATTCAAACTCCAGTCCCCTCAAAAAAAAAAAAAAAAAAAAGAACCTGGGAAACAACAGAACAAAGAATGCAGTTTTGTAACAAATAGCGATTTGAGGAGGAAAAAAGATTAAGGGAGACTATAAATTAAAAGAGACTTGAAAAGAATTTTACATCCAAGAAAAAGTGATAGAATGAGAAAATTAGAAAAATCAGTAGTTGTGTTTGTGAAATTTGACATCCCTCTTTTAATAAACAGAACAAGTTTAAAAATCAGTAAAGATACAGAACACTTGAACAATACTATTAACCAAATGAACCTGTGACATTTACAGAACATTACACCCAAAAAACATACAGGATCTTATTTTTAGGTGCACATGGAATGTTCTGGAACATTGACCATATCCTAGGTCATAAAACAAATCTTAATGAACTTCAAAATATTAAAATCATAAGTCTCTCAGACAGGGAGGTAAAACAGGTCCTGCCTGGGGTGTTGGTACCAGTGGGAGGGAGAAGGATATTAGGAAAAGGTGTAGGAGGGTGAGTATGGTGGAAATATGTACTCCTGTATGAAAATGGAAAAATGAGACCTGTTGAAACTATTCCAGGAATGGGTTGCAGGGGAGATAATGGGGAATGATGGAGGGGGTGAATTCAACTATAATATATTGTAAGAACTTTTGTGAATATCACAATGTACCCTCAGTACAACAATAATACAATAAAAAATAAGGAAAACTAGAACTCAAAAAACATAAGTCTCTTGGGAAAACAGGATTAACTTAGAAATCAAAAACAAAATGGTATCTTAGAAAATCTTCATATATTTGAAAGTAAAACAACACATTTCTAAACACCCCATAGATAAAACAAAGCACAAGAGAAATCAGAAAATATTCCCAACTGAATGATAGTTAAAACAAGCTTTCAGAATTTGTGGGAAGCAGATAAGTGCTGCCTAAAGAAAAATGTGTAAGTTTAAGTGCTTACATTTTAAGAAAGATTTAAAATCAGTGACAGAAACTTCTACCTTAAGAAGCTAGAAAAGTTAAACCCAAAATAAGTACAAGAAATGAAATTAATGAAACAGCACAAATTAATTAAATAGAAAACAAAGAAAATCAGCAAAGTCAAAAGCTGGTTCTTAGAAAAGATTAAAACATCAAGAGACTAGGTTGAGGCTGGAGTCAGTGGTAGATTGCTGCCTAGCAGGACGAGACTCTAAGTTTGATTCCCCAGCACTTGAAAATAAAAGGGGGAAGGGAAAGAGAGCATCTGTGAGACACTAAAGATAATATAAGAATTAATAGGATAACAAGAAAATGTTATAAAGAACTTAGCAATGATGTATTTGACAAGTTAGAAAAACTGAATGAATTCCCTGAAAAACAAAATCCATCAAAACTGGCTTCTAAGAATTAGAGTATAAAAGTAACTATATTTATTTTAAAAAATTGAATCCATAAACCAAAATCTTTCCACAAAAACAAACACCAAGCCTAGATACCTTCATTATGAATTCTATCAAACATTTTTAAAGAGCATATAATTTTATATAAACTCTTTCAGTAAATACAGGAGGGAATGCATCTGCCTCATTTATAACTCCAATGCAGCTGATAAAAAGTCTGACACAATTATAGGAAAAGGAAGTTTCAGACCAATATTCCTTATGAACTGTAGAAACCCTTAACAAAATATTAGCAGATCAAATCTAGTAATATATGAAAGAGATAATAAATACATTATGACCAAGTGGGATTTATCCCAAGAATGAAAAATGGTTTAACATTCAAAAAATCAATCAACATAACTTCCCACATTAGCAGATCAGTAAGACAAGAGAGAGGATGAAGAAGCCTAAAGATTAGAAAAGAAGTAAATAAACATTCATAAACAACACAAAAATCCTAAGAGATCTCCAAAGGTCACCTTAAAATAAAAAGTAAATTTAGCAAGATCTCAAGATAGAAGATCAACTTATAAAAATTAATTGTATTTTAACAAAATTTCAATGAATTAGAAAATGTATTATAAAATAATACTGCTTGCAATAGCATAAAATCAGTCATATAAAAATAAATATGAGAAATATGTGCAAGACTTCAAAATCAAAAGCTATAAAACATTACTGAGAGAAATTTTAAAAGGCCTAGATAAATGCACCATGAAAAGTATTGGGAAATATTGGCTTTTATAAAGGCCTTTGGCCAACTTTTACTAGGTTATTTGTCTTTTTAAATTCATTTCTCTAATTTCATGAGCCAATAAGTTCAACATCAATAGTCATCAGGAAAATGCAAACAAAAGCCATCATACAATAATATATAGTATGCCCTAGAATGGCTAAACTTAGAAAAAAACTCAAATGTTGGCAAGAATGTGAAATGACTGGAATTATCATATATTGTGAAAGGGGCACATAAAATGGTACAAACTATTGAAAAGGCTATTTGGTAATTTTCCTTAAATTTCACACGCACAGCTATCCTGAATTTGATCATAATAGATGTATACTTAACTTCATGCTATTTTCATGATAGAAATGAAAACAGGTGTCAAAGGAAAACATAACACACAAAATCCTGTACCAGAATGTTCTTTGCAGCCTTAATTCATAATAGCCTGAAATTGTGACAACAAGAAGAAAATAGATAAACAGATTTTGGTGGATTATACAATAAATATCATTAGTAATGAAAAGAAATGAGGTGCTGATACATGTAGCAACATGAATGAATCTCAAAAATATTTTGTAACCAAAGAAACCAGATACAAAAAGACTGTATATGCTCCCATTTATATGCAATCTATGAACAGGGAAAACTAATTTATGGTGATCAAAATCAGAAAGAGATACTTAGGATAGTAAAGGAAATTATTAGAAAGAGGCATAAACAAAATTTTTTAGTTTAGGTATGGAAATATTTTAGATCTTAAGTTGAATGGTGGTTACATGAGTGTGCACCATGCTTAGGGCATATTGTTATATGTAAAGTATGCCTCAATAAAACCTGGTTTTCAATTTTAAAAGGCAAGAAAGAGAAACTTAACAGGTACATTAATTAATTGTGATTACACAAACATATTTGGATCCTGATCCTAACAAACTGAAAAAATAATCAGAAATCAGAGCACTGGCTTGATATGAAATTAAGGGGTCAGTGTTAATGTTTTAGATATGATAGTGGCACAATTACCTTTAAAAAACAGATCATTGTTTTTAAAATGATAAGAGATGTGCAGAAAAATAACCTAGTGCAGGAAAATGGGGAGCGAATTACAATTGACCTTCAATTGATAATTATTAGTGGAGGGTGGTGAGTACATTAGATTTCCATGCATTCTTCTCTCTATGTTAGTACAAGTTTGAAATTTTCTATAAAAATAAAAGTTTTTTTTTTTAAAAAAAGATTGGACTTAGAGGATATTAAGTTCCAATTTAGGTAAACAAGTTTTTCATTTGCATTTGCTGCTAGTTATGCCTGCGTCTCCTGCCTTGGTCACAGTAAGTACACAACTGATATTCTAGTAGCCACAGAGCAGTTCCTCAGATCCTAATTTCTTAGAGAGTGGTTCCAACCTGATAAGAACAGAATCCTTGATTTCATCACAGATTAACGTCAATGCTCTGATCATTCCCAGAACTTCACTTTAAAACCCTAACATCTTTAATTACACTTAAAACCAATAGGTAACTTATGAAGTTTATAGCTCAGTTCTTAACACACAAAATGACCTATTCCTGATGTTGGTGATACTGACATGGAACTGTCTGGCATTCAGAGTTCAAGAGCACATTGCATAGTGGAACTCTTCTTTGTAACGATACTGTCGTGCTTTGCAGACCAAGTGACAATAACTATCATATCCACCGTACAATCAAGAAAACCAGGTGTGGAGTTGGTAGGTTTTCTCCTTGTTACTTTAATTCCAGGACTTGCATCACATTCTTGTCATCACAGAGTCCACTTGTCCATTCCACAAGGAATTTTTAGAGATAAAATCACTTCCACTGATAAGAATTCAAAGGACATGGGGTTTTCCCCAAAGTGTTTTGAAGATATGACTAACACGAATTTTTGCCTCAATAAACTATCCCAGTTTCACTGTGTTTATCCACTCAAATCTAAAAAGTGTAGATAACTTTCTGATTAGCACACTCTGAAGTCTATTTATAAGAACACTGTAACCACCTGTCCTTTTGTCACCAGGAGCAACCTGATGTTTCAAATCACATAGCTATTTTCTCCTTCATTGTGGATCACATTAGAAGTAGGGGGCTGGGGAAAGCTGCTTTCCCTGCCAGAATTTACAAAGGACCTAAGCAGTACACAGAAGCCACTGGGAGATGGACTCCAAGTAACAAAGAAAGCGCAGTCATTCATGATGCCAACAGGGGGCATTGTTCTGAAGGCAGGGAGAATGGTTGGTGCAACTACCCAAAGAGTCCACCCACCCCTCCTGAGGTTTGCCTTTCTTTTAACCTACAGACATTCTGGAACTCCACTCAGAAACCCAAAGAAACTATAATATGAATTAAACCCACCCTTCTCCCCTCATAAAGCTGATACAGGCTAGTGAAAACATTCCTCCATCTCTTCATCTCCCCAAGGACAGAATAAGGTTTACTGAAAATGAACTCCAATCTGTGCATTACACAACTGGCCATTTTAAAATGTACCTTGATTCAAAGCCAGAGCAGGGGCGTAAATAACAATTCCAGTGTACAAAATCTAGGAGAGAAAAAAGAAAGACAAATGAATTATATAAAGTATAAGATTCATGAATTAGATATATGAATTACAAAATAAAATATGATTTTTCCAATAAAATTAATAATGAATTAAAACAGCAGTTTCAATATATTAAATAAAATTTATTTGTAACTTGGAAATGTTAAGTAGAGTTGATTTTACTTTTCTGTTGGTGGTATATTCATACATTATAAAAATTTCCTGTCACTAACTTTGTGTGAAATTACAGATTTTTAATGGGGTGATTAGTGTAAATGGTTGCTGATCTTGAAATCAATTTTCCTAGATTTAAAATAATTAAAAAGAAAGAACATAAAATTTAAAAACATTGCACACTTAATCACGTGTCTTCAAATTTTTGCTAATTACCACATATTTTTAAAAAGTAAGCTTTTTTAAAGTTTTTAACTGTCTAAAGTTTGCATGTCCATTAAATTAGAAAAGTATAAATTTTCACTAAAAAGTCCTGAAAGCCAACAAAAATTATAACCTACCTTCTTATATTATTTATTATTTTTCATTCATATATTTGACAAATACTTACTGATCTTGGGTACAACAGTAAGATAAACGCAATCTTTTTCTCAAGCGATTTTCATTGTATTTGATCTTCAAATATGTCACACAGAGGCTTACTCTCAGATTATTCTATAAAACATTATGATAAAACATGTACTATTTGGAAGTTTGATTGCACTGCATGGGAAGATGGAAGAAAGTGAGTCCTTCACAAATGAGGGCTGTTCCCTTTGACAGCTTTCCACAGTCATTATTCTGTCCAAGGTGAAGATTTCGAATGTGACAAGCTGTCATTGAAATGACTGTCCCTACTCACTTCTTACTTCTGTTAGCATGTTAGCGTTAACCCACAGAGAGTCTGAACACTTGGCAGCTGTAGGCAACCTGCCTCAGCTCTGTCAGAATCTACACCAGACTCCAAAGGACACCTTCTTTTTATACTGCAAGTATTATGGACTGATAACATTTAACTTAGGTAATTTGCAAAGATATAAAATGAAACCAACTTAAGTAATCTACAAAGGCACTCTGTCTCACTGGAGCAAAGGTTTATGTGGCTTTTGATTGGAGAAATGTAATTATAGTTAAAGAATGAAAACCCCTCCCCAGATCTCCATTACCAAACCCAGCCCTCACCTACTTAAGTGGCAAGGGGAAGAGGGAGTTAAACGATGAGACGATGGTCATGAAAGCCTCCAGCCAGATGAAGAGTGGAAGCACTCTTATCACTGCCACTTGGCAAATTCTGGCTTTCCACTGGTGTCAATCAGTAAGTATATTCTAGAATTACTGGATTGTGTATTTGTCTTTTAAAATTCTCGCAGAGTTCATGATTCTGTTGCTTTCCACTATTAAGTGACTTCTTCAATTGGGTCTTATTGTTCAATTTGTGTGTGTGTGTGTGTGTGTGTGGTACTAAGATTTCGAACTCAAGACCTTGAGTGCCTTGCTAGGCAGGCACTCTACTACTTGAATAATGCTCCCGGCTTTTTTTTTGTTTGGCTGTGTGTGTGGTACTAAGATTTCGAACTCAAGACCTTGAGTGCCTTGCTAGGCAGGCACTCTACTACTTGAATAATGCTCCCGGCTTTTTTTTTGTTTGGCTGTTTTTTCAAATAGTTTCCCACACTGCTGCCCCAGGCCAGCCTTGGTTCAGGATCTTCCTATCTGCGTCTTCTGAGTACTTGAGATTACAGTATGAGCCACTATGTCCAGCTTCTTCTTTGAGATAGGGTCTTGCTAACTTTTTGTCCAAGCTGACCTGGAACCATGATCCTCCTATCTCTGCTTCCTAAGTAGCTGGGATTACACATGTGAGTCACTGCACCTCATCCTACAGTTCAAGTTTTTAAAGAGCAGGGATTTATTTTTAAAGTATGCTTTCAAAGAAGCAAAATTGTTTCCTATTGTCTTACAGTTGGAAAAATACTATGAAACACACAACTTGTTTTCCTTTTGTTAGAATTCCTACTGTCAGCCACTATGGCTCCCTCTAATATTTTTGTCGTCTAATAACGCCCTTATTGTCACCTTGGTTGAAGTGGGAAAGAAGAAAGCATGTTTTCCTAAAACAACATATCCATTTAAGTTCACTTAAATCGTTCTGTTTTTTTTTTCTTTTTCAGGAAGTAAAGCACTTGTCAAAACATTGTTTAATGGTCTTAAGGTTTAATGCTGTGTGGTGACAAGTGTTTTTATTTGTTTTTACTTCATGTTTTCAACATTTTTTTTTTTGAGACAGAGACTTGCTATGTAGCCCAGGCTGATGTCTTATTTGTGATCTTCCTGCCTCTGCCTCCCAAGTACTATTGATTACAGAGGTGTGCCACCATGCCCTGCTCAACATGTCTTTTAATCTTTCATGTGTTTTCCAAGTAAAGTTTGCCTGGATGCCATGGATAAAATTATTTTAGATGACAAGCAATAAAGCAAATTAATGGAAAGCCACTCACTGTTTGAAAAATGAAGAGGACTGTTCCACAGAGACGAATAAATCTGTTAAATCGAAGTTCTAAATACTGTTGACAAGAAAGGAAAAGTAGTTAGTATGTGAATACTCTGAACAGTTTTTTTTTTAATCAACAGCTTAAGCAAAGCGTTTTATTGCATTCTGCGTTCTTACTATTATTTTTATTTACATACAGTAAAATTGATTTGAACACACATGAAGATTTGTGTGACCACCCCCCCGCACATCACAACCAGATTACAAAACAGTTGCTCCGTCCTGGAAAATTCCTTCCTACTGCCCCCTGTGTGATCTAACCCCCCGACCCTAAAACCTATCAATCACTGACCTGTTCTCTATTCCTTGTTTGGACAGGAAAGACTGGAAAAATTGTCACATAAATGTAATTATATTCTGCATTGTTTTGTTTTTTAGAGTAATCAATTATTTTTTCCTTTCTCTTAGTACTCAGGGTATAGATTTCTTTTGATTCACTTGGGGAATCAAACTTTTTCCTATTGCAGGCAACTGTGATGGAATTGTCAAAGTTCCCTGCCTCTTCTGAACAAGAGGAAATCACATGACTTAGTGCAGCCAAACATCCTCTCTTGCCAACAGAAGGCCAGATACAAAGAAAGTGATTGGAGCAGACTGATGGGAGGAGAGGCAGGAGAAGCTGTCCAGTCCTCTGTCATTTCCAAGACTTGCTTAGTCAGCTTCTCACTTTGTTCTATGAACTACATTCATGTCCTTCCATTATAAATAAATATATACTTTTTTAACCTAAATCACCCAGGTCAATTTTTGTTGTTGTTGCTTTTTTTGTTTTGTTTAGTTTTGACATAGGCTAGCTTCAAACTCATAATCCTTTTGTTGTGTCATCAGTTTATGTTCAAGAAACTGCCAAGAAAGAGCCAAGACCCTGCCAACTTCTCCTATTCCCTTGAAATCTGCTATATCTTCTAATATGGTCTGCTCATTTCCCTTTATTATATAACATATGATGATATATTACAGAGTTAGAATCAGAATTTCAGAGCTGAGGTCCAAGATATTCCTCAACTTGAATATTAGGACTATAGGTACAGAGAAGTCAAAGACTGATATGTCATATAGCAGAAGAAGAGAGGGAGAGAAAACCGTCATTAGATACTAATCAGAGGGAAAGACATCTGATATTTGTGCTCACCTAACATGCACTTGATGTATGCATTGTCTTCCCAACAACTCTGAGGCAGCCACTGTGCATGAGCCCATGCTGAAGATGAGGACACTGAATTTCAAAGAGGACACCAAGGTTGCAATCTAATTATTACCAGCACCATGACACAAATTTAGAGACTTTGATGCTAGAATCTATGCACAGAAACACATCAGTAAGTAAATAATCTGACCGTGTATTTAAGACTCAATAAGTGAATATGTGGCACTGACACATAATAGCTGGTAGGTGACAAATATGCAACACAGAATAGAGCAATGGGAGCAGAGGTCAAGCCCTTGACCCAGTCCCACACCTGACTCACAAGCTTAAGGCACTCACTGTCCGAATCTGAAGTCCTTTCTCTTAAAAATGAGGATCATAGTAGTCATGCTTTTGCCTCTTTGCAGCGTTTTGGAGATGATCCAATGATATAAATGGATGGAGAAATGTAAACTGCTCAAGAGTAAGCTATTAAGAAGTAAGTGGAGCTGGTGGAGTAGCTCAGGTGGTAGAGCACCTGCCTAGCAAGTGTGAGGGCCTGAGTTCAAACCCCAATACCACCAAAAAAATACAAATAAATAAAATAAAGGGTGCCAAGAAGAAAGAGCAGATGGCAGAACCTTTCATGTAAAAAAAAAAAAAGTCAGTGGAATCCTAATCATTGGGCTGTGTGAATGACGTGTATCAGAATCACTTAAGGACGTTTTGGAAGATGTTTTAGAGACTGCAGAAGTTTCTGAAGCCTCTAAACGGTGTGTTATTTCTGCAAAATTCTTTTAGCAAATCTCTATTACACATGAATGGACATGAATAGACAAAGAAGTCTTTTGATTTTTTTCCTGTACGTGTAACCAAATTGCTGGAGACTTAAAAAAAAAAAACTTAAGAGCAAACTGTGACAGAAGTAAGCATGTAGCAAGTTGAACCAACTAACTTGCAAAGAATTTGAATAGCTGTGTGTATGACTTTCCCCCAAGATCAGCTGACTCAGGAAAAATAATATATTTAAGCTCACATAAGACCAATTCAAGACAAAAATCAAGAAGACATTCAGTACGTCAGCCATTGGTATTTTACTGCACTGCCAAGGAAATACTTGGAGACCTAACCAGAAGCCAAAGTCACTGTAGTCACCATGCAGTGGTTCCGAGAACAGCTCCAGGATTTCCAGACAAAACTGCAGAATAATCTAAAATGCCTAAAGTCAACTGAGATCTCTCACAGTCCTCTGGACATTGAATAACTTAGGAGCACTAAGACTTCTGTTGATAAATATAAAGTAACTTAAAAGTAAAAACCCAGTCTCAGCAACTCAGCTCAAACACACAGATGTAGCTGAATTCCAGAAAGATCTTGAAGAAGTAATTAATTAAATTGGACTTTTTGCCAGTTTGTGGTCTGAAAGTTACTAAACACCTATCAGACCTTCACTGTTTTACAGTGCTGGGCTCAAACCTAGAGCCTCATGCATGCTAGGTAAGCACCCAACCGCTGGGCTATCCCCTCCCCGTAGTCTACTTTTTGAAGGCAATGACAAATACAAATCAAAAATCACTTATAAACTGTCAACTTTAGCTATAGAAATGTAAATAGGGAGAGATTTCATATTTGAGGAAGAATTCCAGGGTACCCACCACTCAGTGTTAAGACTGCACATTCTGTATAGTTGGCTCCACCTCTCAGCATGAAACCACAAAGGAAATAATCCACAAGAAAACCTTTGCTGTGACCAATTGATAGGAGCATAGCATGCTGCCTAACTTACCAGTCCCTGGTTGCCTGGTACCCCTAGTTGTGGACATCATGAGGTGTTCCTAAGCTCATGAAACCTGGCCTAGTTCCACGGTTCTTTCTACGCTGGTATAAGTCCTGCTTGGGGTTGTGATGGATTCACCAGAGCTATCACAGGCAACCAGTAGGGCTGCTAGGCATGCGTTCACATTGGTTTATACTCTCTTACTAGCTCAGCTTTCTGGGAGCCTCTCTGCCTACAAAAAGATGCTCTTAGAGTACATTCCTGGCAAGGATTTTTTTTTTTTGAGCATTGAGTCTGATAACATGTAAAACATGCAGCCCAGTGCCTGGCATGTATTAAACGTTCAATGAGTGTTAGCTGTTTGTCATTTTTAGCTGGAATTCCTGCTCACTTAGCTCCTACCACTAGAGACTTGTGAGAAATCTGTTTCTGGTTAAGTTAATGTTACAGCTCCAAAGAGGCACAGGTCAGTGATTTTGAGAGCAGAATTCACCTGCCAGGACTGAAATCCTTTTGCCAGATTATTCAAGCCCTTCCCAAATTTTGGAGTAGGTTAACTGCAGCTCAGAGCTCAAAGACTCAAATATCTGCAGATTCCATCAGGTAACACACACAAGTGACACAGGCCAGGTGTTTATACATTAAAATGCTAGAATATGCTTCACATTCAGTAAGAAGTACATCCTCACATCTCCCTCAAAGCAAGAACTCCCTTCAGCACTATCCATTTTCCCTTGAGCATTTTTGATAAAGCCATAAATTCCAGTAAGGATTTCTCAACCACAAGAAAGTAACTGGAAACACACAGAAAGCATCAGCATGGAAATTAACAGACAAGAACAGTAGCTGGGGGCTGAAGTTCCTGTGGCCACAGGGAATGTCTTCTGAGTTTTCAAAAGAAGTTGGAATCCAGAACTTCATTTGCTTCTTGTTATCATTAAATGCTTAATCACTAATTTTTTAATAAAAAAACACTACGAGGTGACTGGAGGCACAGCTCAAGCAGTACAGAACCTGTCTAGTACATGAAGCCTTGAGTTCAAACCCCAGTACCACAAAAAAAAAAAAAAAGTAGGATTGATGACTAAGTATGGCCTGGTGCAGCCAGTTTGTCACCACCCAGCAAAACAGAAATTCCACTGTGCTCATTCCTAGGGTGGTGGCTGAGCTCTTCCAAACACAGTGATCCGAGTTGGGCAGAAAGCAATGCTGTCTTCCCCAGAGGTACCTCACCCTGGATGGCATCGCTAGAGCCCAGACAAAGTTTGTCAACAATGTTGTGCCATTGGGGCCTGTCCTCAGCACCAGTTGAACCAGCCTCAGTAGAAAACCATCTTCCAGTGACCCTGGCTTAGAGCACACAATGACAGGAACTCAAAGACAGAAAGGATGCTGAGACTGACATCAAGCCCTCTGGATAATGGTCTAGTAAAGAAGAAATTTCTGTGGCCTTGACTATGGAGCTTATAGGCCAGGGACTGGGTGACAGAAACCACTGAGGATACTAAACTGGACCCCACACTCTCTGGAGCTTTTATCGCACCTATTCTCACCCCCACACCAATTTAACCACTCTTTAAAGTAATCCAAGTCAAACATTCACCATCTTTGCAAAATTCTTTTCTGCAGAGAACTTAAGGGAACTTAGATCCAGAGTTCCAGAGTTTCTAAACTGTGTACTACGCCAAACAAGGTTGTCCTTAATTTCGGTTCTGTAAAGAGGCAGCAGATAATTCTTAGCCCTTAGTTTCTCTAGTGATCCCGAGATAACTGCCACCACAATAATTATGACCAACACCTGTCCAGCATTTACTCTGTGCTGTTACTATTCTAAATGCTACACCTTCCATTGTCTGTCCCATTTAATCCTCTCCACAAACGGATGGGGTAGGTGGTGTTATTTTCTTTTTGTAATGAAGAAACGGGTACAAAAGGTTTATTAAATAAGTGGCCCGAGATTATCCAGCAAGTGAATGGTACAGTATCTTAACGATTTGCGTGCCTGCCTCTGACAGGAAAAGCTGGTGTGAATTCTCTCCCAGTGACGCTTAGGACCAGCAGGAAGGCGATTTATTTCAAGGAGAGCTGAGACTTGAACGACTTATTCCACCCCCTCCCCACAAAAAAACTTAAGTCTTGACCGGGAAAGAAAGATGTTAAAGGTAGAAAGGGCCTTGATAGCAATGGTACGATCCACTCCATTCGCTTTGGAACGGAGCCCAGGGAAATAAATCCCTAAGTTTTATCGCCTTTCCAGGACACATTTTTCTCCTCAGAGAGGGAGGCCAGTGATGCACCTGGACAAGGAGAGATTCCCACCTGATGGTGACAGTCTGTCCCCAAGAACATCCCTCCAGGAGCCTGAAGAGCCCCTGCTCCCTTTTACCTCGTAGGTGCTGGTGATGCCCAACCTGTAGAACACAGGGAGGAAGACCTCCGCACTGATGACCACCACCAAGAAGTAGGTGATGCTGAAGATGATGAATATGGCCCCGAAACGGTAGACCTCGGCGGGGGTGCCGAGGATGGTGACCGCTGACATGAAGCTGGCGGTGAGGGACAGCGCCACCGGCACAGCGGTCATGCTGCGGCCGCCCATCAGGAAGTCCTTGGAGGTCTGCTGGCCGCCCCGCGCCAAGGCATAGTAGATACCGATGGCTGCCGAGATGAGCAGCATGCCGGCGAACACCACGTAGTCCCACACCACGAAGCCGCCGATGCCCCGCTGCGCGTCCATGGCCGTGGCCGCGCGCTGCCCCGCGCCCTGCGCGCAAACTGGTGGCCCCGCGACGCGCAGCCCGGTCTCCGGGTTTCAGCCTCTGTGGTTGCGCTGCTTTCTTTTCTTTTTCGTCTTCTGTTTTTCCTGGGCGTGGCTCCCTGGGGCGGTTAGAGGTGTCCTCCAGGTATCCCTCTCCGCCAGCCCGAGAGCCCGACCCTGGCACCCCCGGCCGCGAGCTGCGCCCCTCCAAGCCTGGGACTTCGGGAAGTGGAGTCCGCGCGCCCGGAGCTGAGCGCTCACCAGGTGCGGGACTGGGGTGGCCTGGGAGGCGCCAGGGACAACAGCGAGCAGGTGACAACTGGAGCTGCCTGCCGAATCCACAGGGAGCGCTCAGCGCAAATTTTACCAAATGACACGTGAAGGGACGCACCATTTAAATAAGTAGGCGACGGGTGGGGGAGTGTGGGTCGAAGGGCGATTGTCACGCCTTTAAGTTTAGCTTTCCAGTTCAACAATCCAGGTCCTTACTGGAAGATAGGTCTGGAGTTTTTAGATCGTCTTTATTTGACAAGTTAATGGGTGATAGGAGTGACAGTGGCATGTCCTGTCTCAGGACAGTGAGCGGTTAGAAAGGAGAGGGGAAAGACTGTGCTGTTGGTTGTCTGCGATTTTCTTCAACAAATAGTTCTGAGCCTCCGTCCCTCTATTCCCCAACAGTCTGTTGTAGAAATGGTATTGCTGTTTAATAACAGTCAGCATGTGACACAGGGTATGCCTGACTCCTTTTCCATTGACTAGTTTGATTCGTACAATTACCTTTGAGATTGAAATTATCTCCATTTTTCAAGTGAGAAAAATTGTTTTAGAAATGGTGGAAATAACGATTCTTAATCCGGGTCCCATTCAGCACTTGTACTCTGTAAAGTCCACATGTAAATATGTGTGAAAGGCAGGCACAAAAGTGTACACTTAAATGCCTTGAAATTTACTGACAGTATGTATCTCACTCAAAAAGTAATGTGATTTTCAGGTTTTCCTCCTAAAATAGACCCTCCAGCCAAAAGTGCCCAGCCATAGATCTATTTGAGGTTGTCCTTATTTATTTATTTACCAGTTGATCCTTGTTGACAATTATAGAATGCCTTTATTCCAATGCAGTGTGTGAAGAAAGCTATATCAGATTTTATTTTTTATAAATTGGCATTATTTGTACATCATTTTCAGAAAGTAATAAGGAGGTAAATAGAAGTAAAATCTAAGTAATTAAATTATTTAAACAAATATGTGGTTTGGAATTATGTCCTATCTGTGTGAAATTTACTATATGTATATATGCATATACAATACACATTTTTACTATAAGTGTGTGTCAATATGTAAGAATAACACACAGAGGAGTACAGCTTGACTCTTCTAGGAACTGAATCTGCTGAAAATGTCTTAAAAGTCAATAGCAGAAGGTATGGGAAAATACTATTTGAACAGAGCTTCCTTTGGACACCTAGAATTATGATAGAACCTCAGACAACTAAGGACAAATACATCTCTGTAGTCATTTCAAGGCAGACTAGCTTCAACTTGTAAACCCTGAAATCTGACTTCTTGACTTTGCCATTATCTTGGGCAAGTGCTTACTTCTGTGTCTTAGCTTCCCTTTTCTGAAATGTGGGTAGGGGTTCTTACCATTCAGAGCTGTAGAGGGTTAAATGAGATGATATGTGAATAGCCCTGACACTGTTAAGTGCTAGATTTCGTAATTGTCTAGCTGCTTTCCAACTTACTGAGAAGGGGACTACTATGTAAATCATAACTTCGACATGTTGCTCTTAGAGCCTCTGTTTCCCCAAGTTATCCCCCCTGCTTTGCAGCATTTATGTAATGTTGTGAACTATGTATCATTTATACTATATTCTCTCATGTCTTTTAGGTGTCTTGATGTTGTCTTTGACAAATATTTTCAAGAATTACTGTCACCTAGAATGGTGAGTCCTTTCAATTTGAATATTCATGACCTTTTAAAATTGAAACCTTAAATATTGTTGCTATTCCAATTGTTCTAGCCTCTTCCTCAAAAATCTATAAATCTTCAGTAAGTCCGTCCAGTCCTCTGTATTATTCATTTGAATCTTTTTTTCTCTTTTCATCCTAGGTTTGTCTTTTTTTGCAGCACTGACCTCAGTCTGCAATGGTACACTATACTTTACTGATCTCAATATATATTCTACATTTTAATATCACTGAAAATTTCTTACAATCTCACTCTAAAGTCTTTCCATCTTTACGATGCCATGCAGTTTTCTTAAATTTCATTTTTTAATCCAAGGAGCAGCTGGTTTCTATAGTGCTTTTCTTTCCCCAAATCTTTGAACCAATGTTTCCCTTCTTTCATCCTGTAGTCTTTTTTCATAGGACATATATTGGTTATTTGTCTGGCAATCATCTCAAGTGAAAAAGTAATTTCCAGACTTACTGTTTGCCAAAAGGTGATGCTGCCCCCATATTATTGCTCTCTTCTTTTGGGTTCTTGACTTTAAAACTGAGTGGCTTGGTGAAGTTCAATACTTAGGTGAGTGCCATGATCAGCTGGTCTGCATTTGTGACTCCTGGACAGACAGTATTTTCCCCTGTTCCCACTGCCTGGTCCTCTCACATGCTAAGTTCTGTAAGTTACAGCATCCTCCACATCTTGGGTTCTTCCACCTCCACCCAAATTATCATGCTTTACTTGTAAGGACAACCCTTCTGAAAATTGCGTGGGCACTGCCAGTTCACTCTACTCCCACCAGCATCCTGCCAGATTAAAGGAGATAATATGTCCACTGGAGGTGGAGCAGCCTCCAGCAAGAGTTACTTCCATCTTCTTATAGGGCATTTCCTTTTCAGAGTGAACCATAAAGTGTGTTTTTCAGTTCAGTAAATGTGACTTCCTACACTATCTGGCCCTTGACAAGCTGTCAGACATCTTTTCCTACCACTTCTTTTTCCCACTTACTCCTCTCCAGTCATACACACCATCTTCCTTGCTGCTCCGGAAGCATCCCAGGTCTCTGTCTCAGGGTCTTTGCACATGCTGCTCTGTCTGCCTTGAATGCTCTTCTTCCAGGTTTTACTAGGACTTGCACCCTCACTTCATCAAACATCTGTTCAAATGTCACTTCCTCCATGAGGCCTTCCTTGATCACTCCATCTATAATCAGAATCAACCATTTTCTACTCTCTTGCCTTGTTTTGTTTTTCTTTATATACTATTCAACCTGACATTATACCTGACATTATATTTCTTTCTTTGTCTAGTTTGTGGTCTGTCTTCCCCCACTACAACAGAAGTTCTGTGAAGGAAAGAACTTTGTTTTGTTCACCACTATACTTCCTGGGTCTAGAACAGCCTGGTGCATGGAAGATGTTTATTTTTACTTGATGAATAAATGAATGAACAAAGAGAGGAATTATTAGAAAATCCTCTCAGATAGATTGACTTTGTCTTGATTCCTAGTATTCTAAATTTCTTCTTTTCTGTGTTCTCATAAACATTTTAGAGGAAAAATGAGATAAGCCACTTTTTTTACTTTAAATCTGTATTTAAACTTAAGCAGTTTTCTTTAATTTATTGTCAATTTTCCTTATCCACTCTCTATCTGAGAGTGACAGAAACCAAAATAACAGTGGCTCAAGCAAGATAAAATTTTATTTGCTCTCACATTTAAAAAAGTACAGAGGTAAGGAGTTCAGGATGGGAGCAAAGAGAGGGGATAAGGCTACATGAAGTGTGTTTGGGATCCAAACTTCTCTCTTAGAGCTCTGCATCCTCAGCGGAAAGGAAGAAAGGACATGGCTATGCCACTAAGATATACACAACAGTTCTGTGTATATCTTTTTATCAGCTCAGAGAACAAAGTCACATAGTCACATCTAGTTGCAAAGAACACTGGGAAATAAAAGCCTGTGCTCCACTCAAAGATGAAGGCCTTATTTCTAAGGGAGAATGTGTAGTGGCCAGTGACCAGCAGTCTGTCACACCCCTCTTACCCACAGTCTTCACCAAACTGACTCTTTCTCAGAGACCAGTCAACCAGGAATTCTTCTATCCTCCTGGGAGTCATCCATACCTGACAAAGTCAGAACTTCCCATATTTAAAAACACTAAGACAATGACTAGTTCCTCCTTACACCTTTCCTTCACTTAACGTGGACAGTCTCTAGTTTTAACTCCCGTGTCCATGACAGACACATGTTCTCATCACGTAACTACTCAGAAAACCGAGGCCACCAGGAGGCATACAGAAGTACAGTGAAGTGGGATTCAGAGGCTGATAGGAGAAGGAGGGGCACAGTGCACTCCGAGGATGGAATGCTCACACCATCCGTCTCCACAACTCTTCATCTTCTGAAACATAAGCTGTGAACCCATTAAACTATTACGCCCTACTCCCTTCACCCGCTGCTCTGGCAACCACCATTCTACTTTCTTTCTCTATGGTTTTCACTTTAAATATCCCATATGAGTGGAATCACACAGAATTTGCCTTTTTGCGACTGTCTTATTCACTCAGCGTAGTGTCCTCATCTATGTTGTAGCATGTGTTAGAATTTCTTTCCTTTCTAATGCTGAGTGTCCCTTGGATGGATATACCATATTTTGCTAGTCCATCTGTTGGTAGACTCTTGGGGGTGCTCCTTCATTTTTCATTATCATGAATAATGCTTTTCAAACATGGATATAAAAATACCTCTTTGAGATCCTGTTTTCAATTCTTTCGGTATATTCAAAAGTAGAATTGCTAGAACATATGGCAATTCTATTTTTAATTTGTTTTGTTTTGTTTTTTATATTTTTGGTAGTACTGGGGCTTGAACTCAGGGCTTTGTGCTTGTTAGGTAGGTGCTCTACTGTATAAGTCATGCCTCCAGACCTTTTGTTCTGGTTATTTTTGAGATAGAGTCCCCCCTCTTTGCTGGTATTTGCTGGTATCTTTCCTATTTGTGCTTCTTGCTGGGATGACAGGCATGCACCACCACACCCAGCTTATTGGTTGAGATGGGGGCCTCTTGAACTTTCTCCTGGTCTGACCTCAAGCCACAATCCTCCCAATCTCTGCCTCCCAAATAGTTAGGATTAGAGGCATGA